GGTTTTGAAATCAGTTTCAGTAAACCTATTCAGTGAAACGGACCACAGGGTCGTACAGATCAGTTCTCCTGAGTCAGATTATTCAAGATTCTCAATTTTCAGAATATCAACAACCTCCACTCTGATTTCATTTGAGCATAAATACAGGTGCTGGTCATAAAATTAGAATATCATGAAAAAGTAGATTGATTTCAGTAATTCCATTTAAAAAGTGAAACTTGTATATTATATTCATACATTACATACAAACTCATATATTTCAGATGTTTATTTTGTTTAATTTTGATGATTACAAATGACAACAAATGAAAATCTCAAATTCATCATATCAGAAAATTAGAATATTACTGAAGACCAATAAAAACAAAGGATTTATAGAAATGTTGGCCAACTGAAAAGTATGAACATGAAAAGTATGAGCATGTACAGCACTCAGTATTTAGTTGGGCCTCCTTTGGCCTGTATTACTGCAGCAATGCGGCGTGGCATGGAGTCGATCAGTCTGTGGCACTGCTCAGGTGTTATGATAGCCCAGGTTGCTCTAATAGTGGCTTTTAGCTCTTCTGAATTGTTGGGTCTGGTGTATTGCATCTTCTTCTTCACAATACCCCATAGATTTTCTATGGGGTTAAGGTCAGGAGAGTTTGCTGGCCAATTAAGAACAGGGATACCATGGTCCTTCAACCAGGTACTGGTAGCTTTGGCACTGTGTGCAGGTGCCAAGTCCTGTTGGAAAATGAAATCTGCATCTCCAAAAAGTTGGTCAGCTGCAGGAAGCATGAAGTGCTCTAAAACTTCCTGGTATGTGGCTGCGTTGACCCTGGACCTCAGAAAACACAATGGACCAACACCAGCAGATGACATGGCACCCCAAACCATCACTGACTGTGGAAACTTTACACTGGACTTCAAGCAACGTGGATGAAGTGCCTCTCTTCTTTTCCTCCAGACTCTGGGACCTTGATTTCCAAAGGAAATGCAAAATTTACTTTCATCAGAGAACATGACTTTGGACCACTCACCAGCAGTCCAGTCCTGTTTCTCTTTAGCCCAGGCAAGACGCTTCTGACGCTGTCTGTGGTTCAAGAGTGGCTTGACACAAGGAATGCGACAGCAGAAACCCATGTCTTTCATACGTCTGTGTGTGGTGGTTCTTGAAGCACTCACTCCAGCTGCAGTCCACTCTTTGTGAATCTCCCCCACATTTTTGAAGGGGTTTTGTTTCACAATCCTCTCCAGGGTGCGGTTATCTCTCTTGCTTGTACACTTTTTTCGACCACATCTTTTCCTTCCCTTCGCCTCTCTATTAATGTGCTTGGACACTGAGCTCTGTGAACAGCCAGCCTCTTTAGCGATGACCTTTTGTGTCTTGCCCTCCTTGTGCAAGGTGTCGATGGTCGTCTTTTGGACAACTGTCAAGTCAGCAGTCTTCCCCATGATTGTGTAGCCTATAGAACTAGACTGAAAGACCATTTAAAGGCTTTTGCAGGTGGTTTGAGTTAATTAGCTGATTAGAGTGTGGCACCAGGGGCCATCAATTTTGAACCTTTTCACAATATTCTAATTTTCTGATATGATGAATTTGAGATTTTCATTTGTTGTCATTTGTAATCATCAAAATTAAACAAAATAAACATCTGAAATATATGAGTTTGTATGTAATGTATGAATATAATATACAAGTTTCACTTTTTAAATGGAATTACTGAAATCAATCTACTTTTTCATGATATTCTAATTTTATGACCAGCACCTGTAGAGGCCCTGATCAAACGAAAGCAGAAAAGTCGATCCCCTATTGCAGCAAAAGGAAAAATGATCAAGAAAAATGTGAATGACGTCGTATGGAGATTACAAAAACATAAAGTGACAGAGACCAGGCTATGCATGAGTGGGATTAGACAGAATTGAAAGTTTTCTCATCAGCACTACACCTATTTCATTTTCCTGTTCCAACAGGAAAAAGGAATGAGCAAAACACTAAAATTTTCTAAATAAGGACAAACTATACTTTCCTACAGCCTTGCTAACAAATAGACGCATATATTAAAACATCCATGCTTTTAGATAGAAGGTAAAGTGGATAAAATTCTTTCAGGTTGGAATTCTGGGGCAAACATCTTTTACATTGTCAATACTTACCTACTTTTATCAATAATCATCCTGCATAAAATTGATATTTCCGAGTACTAATATCTACATTAATTCATTATTTAATACTTTTTTATTAAAAATACTTATTTATCTATGATTTCACTAAAGACTCCTAGATGAACGCAGAGACACATCATTTTCTCTTTACCCCATAAAACACAAAATCTAGTTCTGAAAAGAGCAGGAATAATGTTAGTATATTGATGTGCATAATTAACCACAGTGCTTTTGTTATCAAGTAATTATGAATCTATGAAAAAATAGTAAGTAATATATGAAAAATGTAAGTTTTGAATATTCCACTTGATTATTGGTGGGGGGGGGGGGGGGGGGGGGGGGGTGTTGGTGGCCACAAGGGTGGCCAGTGATTGGCTAAGGGTGGCCATGGCCCCCCATCTAGCTCGGCCCCTGGAAATAACCCAACAAGCAACCCAAAAAACAACGTAGCAGTAAATCGAGATAAAATAATCAGTCCAATTATCAGCTATTCTGTTTATATTTTACCTTCTGAATCACACAGCCAGCTTGCTTTCTCCAAGAAATATGTAAAAAGTTTACTCTGATTTTTTTCACATTTTCAGTCTCTGTGTGAAATACAAAAGGTGTGTTTATAAGAAAACATATTTAATCAGAGAGGAGAACTAGAAATGTAAAAATAAAACATACTTTATTTACTGAAGGAGCGGTGAATGTGATGCTATCTGTGCTTATGCCTGGAAACCAAAATATGATTTTGACAGAAACTTTGCTGTTTTAAATTTCTCTTCTTCGAGTTTCACAAAGGAATTTCTTTTTAAATTTCGTTTTCCAGATCAGGTCATCTAAACTTCTGTGGGCGGGACTTTTTCTGGAGTAAGGAGCAAAGGCGTATTCCTATTGGCCTGCTGAACCTCAGCAACATTTTCATTGGTCAAGAGGGAGCGTCTGATTGGCCTTGAAGTGAAGGTCCTCAGTGAAATAAAATTAGAAAAGAATACAATTTGTGAAACTTTCTGAGGAAAATTGAAACTATAATTTTTTATGTACAATTTGAAAAAGAAATCAGTGAAAACAGCAAAATGACTTTCAAAATCTTTTCTTTTGATAAATATTTTTCAAAGTTCAACAATGATTGAAGAGAACAAACTCTTCGACTGATTGGGCCTCAGCCTGGATTCAAACTTTCCTTTCTACCAAATCAGGATCCATCTAATAGACATCTGAGCTGTATGCAAACAACTTAATGTTAAGTGCAGCACAAATAACTTTTCCACACTGATTTGTTGAATAATGAAAACCAATTAGAAAATAAAATGATGTAACCATATTAAAGTCCATCTAATGGTGTGGAGCGTAGTGCTCCAGCTATAGGCTCCCACAGTCAATTACAACATTTCTAACACTTTTCTTGTGTCTGATCTCAGTTCAAATGAACAGACTGATAACTTCTAGAAATCCTTCTACCAACCAGAGTTTGTTAATTAATTAATTGAACTTTTCTGAATTGTATTGATCTTACGTAAGAGAAATTTACCTCTGCATTTAACCCCTCCCCTTGGGAAACAATGGGCTGCCATCATGGGGTGCCTGGGGAGGAATCAGGGGTTAAGGGTCTTACTCAGAGACCCAGAGTGGCTGTCTGTGGGAATGGAGCTCAAACTCAGAACCTCAGGATTACAAGCTCTATGCCTTAACCACTAGGCCGCCACTCTTCATTTCACGGAGGAACTGGCTTGAAATACTCAGTTTAGGCAACTTGAGGTGAAGTTTTCTAAGAGAAGTTTCTCCTCTCATCTAAGAGGCTTTTTCAGTTCCAACTGAAGATGGGGAGCACTGGGATTAATATGCTGTAGGTGCCGATTTGTCTGAAAAACTGGCACCCTGAGACAAAAACTGGTTCACCCCAAAGACGAGACACCTAGAAACAAGACCGACCTTCTGGTTAACGCCGTTCAGTGTAGTGAAGAGTGCTCAGACCTGTACATTGGAGAGACCAAGCAACTGCTACAGAGGAGCATGGCTCAACACAGGAGGGCCGACCCCTCAGATTAGGACTCAACTGTTCCCCTACACCTGAAGGATAAACAACGCTTATTTGAGGACTACAACGTCATTATTCTAGCCAAGAAGGACTTGGTTTGAGAGAGGGGTTAAGGAAGCCATTTTTGTTAACCTGGAAAAAACATCTCTTAACAGAGGACTTGGTCTTAGACATAACTTTTCACTTACTTCCAAAGCGCTTTTAGGAACAATATCCAGAAGATTCAACTCTCATCTGCCCTCACCTGACTCACACTTCAATGAGGCATGTGACCGGGAGTTAACGACCCATCAGAACCCTCTGACGACCATGAAACCACCAGGTGACCTCCATGGCCAATCCAGTGGGAGGGATCATAGCCACCTTTCGTCCCCCGCAAAATTCTTTGTTCCACCTACAATATATTAACCTCAGTAATCTACAGTATATTAATCTCAGTAATCTACAGTATATTAATCTAAGTAATCTACAGTATATTAATCTCAGAGCTCCCCACCACCAGTTAGAACTGAAGAAGCCTTTTGGATCTTCTTCTAGAAAACTTAACGTCCAGTTGCATAAACTGAACCCTTCGAGCTTGACCCTGACCTGGATGAATGAGAATCTTCACAGATATTTAATGGAGGAACCTCCGACATTAACTTGACTGGATAATGGCTAATCCAGCTTTCTGAAACGGAAAATCCAGGATATATGAGGATTAACCCCTGAACTTATTCTGTTCTCACTTTCTAAAACGAAAGCCCAGGAGGAGGGCTGAAGCCTCTTGAGTTTTAACTAAAACTTATTTACCCACTGACACCTGAACTGGACTCGGGGGCTTTAGTGCAAAAAAACAAACTTTTAATTTATCAGAACAGTAAAAACATTTAACCCGGAGTGAAACATTATTTTAAGTCACAGGGATAAGCAGAAACTAACACAACAGGTAAACATAATTAAACTACAGGTTTGCAGACAAGAAGAGTTTCAGGAAACTAGATCTTTACATTCAGGTCTGTTTCTACAGAAGGAAAACAAATAAAGTGACTACAGAATAACACTTTCATTTCGTCTTCTTCCTGTTAAGGCTTTGGTTGGTGGTTCAGGTGGGCACAGGCTGGTGGGAGGAGCTTGGGGCGCTGGGCGTCACAGCAGCTCGTCGACTGTTGAGCAGCGCCTGAATCTGCATCGTGAGCTAAGAGAGAATTCAAAGGTGAGGTTGGCCCCGTTAGGATCCTGTGTTTACAGTAACGTTTGCTCAGGAGGGACGGACTTACAGACTCGTGGTTTCTGAGGGTTTCTTGATAAAAGACATGCATGAGAATATGTCTGTTATCATCAGACTGTTTCCAATTCTCAGCTTTCTTGTTCAGCTCGGCTTCTGGCAACAAAGGGTACTGCTGGCGCTGCAGGAGAAAACAGGAGTAAATATTAGAAAGCTCTCCTGTTATTGGAGAGGAATATTTTACACATTGTTTTATCGAACTCTAATGTAGCTTTCTGGTTTTAGTGCAATCCAACAATCAGCGCCCACAAATCCGATTTTTAGTCGGATCCAACAGAAAATTTAGTGCTCCACGAAAGTCAATGGGGATGATTTCCTGCAGGGTGCTGCATAGCTCCGACTGAGATAGCGCCCAGGTCTATTTTGGTCGGACTACGCAGCAATCCTGCAGCAATTTCACGGGTCTGGCAGAAAGAGAGCCGCGGTTAGAAAGTAAAACACATCTGCTTTTGGGGAAAATATTAAATAAATCTGTTAATCGCACAGAGAAAGAGTCAGTTTGGAGTCACACATTGTGTGGACAGCAGGCAAGCAGGACGGACTGGTGCAAAAACAATGAATGAAACATTAAAATAGAACACTTAACCCATGATAGGCGTTAAAGAGGACAGAAAATGGATCAAGTGGCAATCATCTTTGAGCCTCACAAAAAACAAATGAACCAGGGGCAGACAGAGCAGGTAAGCACGGCATATCTCTCACCTCTTTATGAAAAGAAATAAAAACTTGAATAAACTTCCCAGATCTCTCTCTGAGAATCACCTCTCTGCCTCAGTCAGAATAGAAACCATCCCATGGCGTTTATTGCTGTTTTTCTTTTCCTTAGATCGTAGATCTCATTATGTTTTTAACATATGAACATTCTATATGTTCTGGTTTCAGATACTGCACAGACTCATTAAAGTTATAGTGGAGGATTTTCATAAATTTTTAAAAAAGACCAGCCTTCTACACTGCACATGCACAACCCTATACCTGCAATAACGCCAGTAACGCCAATTAAACGCATGCAAGAGCGTGCATGAGCCCATTTCTCCTCATGCACGCTCTGTTTAAAAGTTGCTGTTGGCATCGCTCATACAAGCTTACTTTCCAAAAGATTTGTTAATTTTCTACTATGTCAGACTCATCACCAGTAAGTAATAATGGGGGCGAGCACGTAGGACGGCCTTACGTAACCGTATCACCAGAATGACTGACAATTAGGAGGACCACTTATTTTGATGATCCACCCGGAAAAAGAACATCCTCCACTATACCTTTAAATCAAGGTTTACTTTATAGGATGTGATAGTTTTTTTTTTTTTTTTACTTATTTAATAACTTATTATAATCTGTCCAAGTCAAATGTGGGAAATTGTTTCATTTCGCTGGGCACAAGGAGAGAAGTGAAAAAAATCTGCACAGATCAGGATCTGCTCACCCTGGCTAGTCAGAGCCTCTCTACACGCAGTCTGACCGAAATACTAGGAATGAGATTAAAACGTTGGATGTAACATTAAGCCCTGTAAAGACCTCAGTGAAGCATGTGAGCTGGTTGTGTTCACTGACCAGTCGTAGGACATAGTCCTCAACAGAATGAGTCCTTATCTGCTGCAGGCTCAGGAAAACAGAGCTTAAAGTCATTCTGCTTTTGTTGAGTATTTCCTGCAAAGAGAGACGGGTGAAAAATCCTTTCCAGATGTAATTTAAGCAGCTTCAGAGATTCCCTGTTAAATACCAGCAGCTGCTCGTTAGTCTTTGTCTGCAGGCCGTCTTGGTTTGAACCGGTGGGGGCGTTGGTTTTGTTCGACTGGTGGAAAACAAAGGCGGCGTTTAAATACAGAAAGCGTGAACACTGTCTTTGTAAACAACGTTTTAGTGGTGGTCACCTCGGCTTCGTACTCGGCCCACGCAGCTTTGCGATCTGCTTCGCTCAACTCCTCCTCTTGCTTGTGGTCCAGCAGGGATTGGTGCTCATGGTAGGAGACGATCCAGTCTTTACAGATCTGTAACAGCTGCGCCAGGATGCTGTCCTGTAAGAGAAGCACATGGGTCTGTAGCGTCCGGTGAGGAAGTGGCTCCGCTTTAACTGAGTTGGAGGCCAACCTTCGGCAGGATGGGAGTTGGCCTCTTGCTCTTCTTAGAGTTTGGATCATCCAGCAGGTCTGGCTCGAACGTATAGAGGTCAGTCAGCTCAAAAAGAGTGAAGTGTCTCTCTATCTGTTGATGATCTATGACTCTGAAGGACAGGGACTGCTTGGCGACTTGTCGGTCGTAGATCTTCTCCTCCATGGTTCCCTGTTGAAAGCCGCAGACGGAAAGCATGGGTAAAAACATATTATTTTTTTTAAGGGCGATGCGACTGAGGTCTCAGCGTTTTACCTGAGCCAGCAGGCGGTACACAAACACCGGCTTCAGCTGACCGAAGCGGTACACTCTGTAAATGCTCTGAATGTCATAGGAGGGATTCCAGGACGCGTCGAAGATGACCACCCTGTTGGCGGCAACGAGGTTGATCCCGAGGGAGCCGGCCCTCGTTGAGATCAAGAACAACCTGCCGCTAAAAGCAGTAAAATCAAAAGCATCAATCACTTTCCCCTCCGTCTTACTCCAGCATTGATGGACAACATGGAGCAAAGTGTACCGGTGGTTGGAGGGATTGTTGAACCTGTCCGTCCATTTCTTCCTCAGTGAAGCGCAGGTGGAGCCGTCCAGACGATAGTAATCCAAGTTTTTAATCCAGGTGCCCTCTGAAAGTTCACAAAAAAATAAAAATAAATAAATAATCACCCCCCCGAAGTCGTCTGGATAAGCGTTCCTTTTTTCTCACCTTTTACGGATGATAAAGGCTCTCTGGCTTTGTGAGAGGCGGCAAGGAAATCCTCGATGAGGTTCAGTGAGATCAAGGACTGACTGAACACCAGCCTAAGAACGCAGACATGGGATTGGCTGAATGAGAAGCATCACTGCAGACCGCTGACGGCTTAGGAACAAAACCAAAACTGAAGGAATGGAAGCACTTTAAAATGTCCTCTGTGGAGTGCCGTACAATTCCATTAGACACCACTTGTCTTCTAAACTACAGAGGGGAATTGGTTCCATTATTGTTGCAAGGAATACATAAAAAAATGTAGTCTAGAAAGAAAAACTCTGAAAAATTATCAAAACAAGGTTTTGAGAGCAACTTTACTGTTTTCTCTTATTCTATAATTTCATTTTTCTTTTTAAAGGTACTCTTTGTTTGATATTTCAGATTTCCTTTCCTTTTTAAATTTGTTTTTCAAATTGCGTTTCTCAGATTACATTTTCTTAGCACTGACTCTTTGCCAATCAGAATGTTGTAGCTAGCGTCCAGCAGACCAATAGAAATGCATCTTTGCTTCTTACACCAGAGGAAAGCTCCACCCCCAGAACTAAGGCGAATGTGACCTTGAAAATCTAAAAATAATTAAATTTTTTAATACTTAATCCAAAAAACAAACACTTGAAAAACGAAGCTTAGAAATTTGTTAAAACATTTGATGGATTAAAGATAGAGTTCTTTAAATATCTCCACAAAAAAGCGCAAAAACCATCTAATCCTGTTTTATAAAAAGGCTATAAACACCAATACTCCATCCTGATAGTGTTTACATCTGCTTTGGCCTAAATAGAATCCAGCAGGGGGCGAAATGAGCATAGACATGGCGCCATCTGATGGCAGTGCCAAAAAAAGGACGCTGCTCCTGGATAAGAGCCTCACCATCCTGCAAAACCTCGTGGTTGAAACAAATAGGCTGTCATTCATTTTAGGTGGAGGGATACACGGCTGTGACATGACCAGGAGCGCCAGCGTTGTCTGAGCTAACGTATCGGATCCTGCTAACAAAGACAGTTCCTGATGGTGACGACCAGCATCCGTCCACATCAGCAGCTACTGCAGAACCATAGAAAGTTCATGGAAATAATCCGGACCGACGCTGGACCCATTCATGGTTCTGCTCTCTGGCAACACTACAACACTGACAGAAATGCCTTCTAGACTAACCTTAACAGTTAATCTGATGAAACATATCTTAATCTAATAAACTGACAATTAAGTCCAACTTGATTATTTGTTTGAATCCCAAATTAAAAATTATATTTTCAAAAAAAACAAGAATTCTTTCCAAGTGCACCTGCATTGGCAGATTATTGCTCTTCATTTTGAGCAGAATTTTCAATTAAAGATGATTAATAATGAGCAGATCGCAGTTTAGTATATTAATCTCAAATCAAAACGACTTCTTGGGCAGATGTCAGACAGTAAGGCCAGGTTAGATGGATCTTTTTTGCCTGTGGATCAAAGCTCATCAGAAAGACGACCAGCTAATGATAAAGGCTAACCAGACTTTTCAGATTTCATTTGTATAACTAAAAGAACCTTAGAAGGGTTCAGCACTTAAACAAATAACCAGAACGGCTCCGGCTACTTTTTTCTAAAACATACACTTTATCGCCCGGGTCTTCGGCCATTCGGAGGATTTCAAACAGAAGAACCATTTTTCCAGAATGCTCCATGATTCTGGCGTCGCCTTCAGACAGCAGATGTTTGTACCAGGCCTGAGCAGGACGCCGAGGACCTGAGCTGCTGGATGCTTCATGTCCTACAGAGAACATCAGAATAGGAACATCTCAGCTAAGGACTTTGTAAGCCTCAGCATCCAGACACTCAGACAGCTGCCGCTGTAGTACCTCCCACCGGTGGCTCGGTTTGGGGTTCAACTGTAGAAACGGCTATGGTTCCGTTCTTATTCACTTCTTTCCCTTCGTTCTTCTGGAAATGTCTCTGCTGTTGGATAAATCAGAGGAGTTAGTGGAGATAAACCTTCATACTGGTACAGTGCTGATGTGATTCTTCTACCTTCATGTTGTCTTTGCTGAGGCTGCTGAGGTGGAGGCACCATGGATGAGACCAAATTCTGCCCAGGACCTGAAAATCTGTGAACACGTTGGCGCTGGTTTTGGTTTTCCCTTTCATGGAGTCTTCAGCTGGAGATGAAAACAAAAAAAACAAAAAAAAACCTGCCAACATGTTCCGGGGATTCTGGGAAAACGTCATATTTCCAAACAACCCTAAATCTATCAGGCAGGGTGAGGACGACTAAACCTCTCTATGTCTGTGATCTAATCTGTGTATTTACCAGCCAACATGTGCTTAGACACCACATGGTCGAGGTAGTAGAGGTACAGCTTATGCTGAAGCGTGGAGATCCTCACTAACAGCACGTACTCGTGTTTGGGAGGCAGAAACGTAGTCAGCTCAGAGTAATCTCTTCTCTAGGATTAAAAAAGAAAAATAACTCAGAGGAGTTTGAGAATGTAAATAGACATCCCTCAGGCCGCCGTTCCTCCTGTTCTCACCTGAACGCATCCAGCCAAAACGGAGTGGAGAACATGGGCACGCTTCTTCATGATGCGGACATCTCTGGGGGTGGAGTCAGCACACTGGCCGTTCTGGATGGGGTTGATGAAGCGGTTTCTAAACTCGTTCAGGGAGCCCAGGAGGTTCTTTTTGATGAAATTCACCATGCAGTGGTCTGCAGGGAGGAAAAACGAGTTAGGAGACGCCAGACAGTCATTGGGGAGTTTTACATCACTGACATCAGCAGCTTCCAACCAAGTTTAGTCTCCAAAGATTTCTAAAGGATTGGGTGAGATCCCATACTTTCCAGCTAAAATTTTGATTAAGGTGATTAAAGGCAAAAGAAGGTAAAACTGACAGCTGCGTCAGTTGGACCATTTGCTGGTTCTGAGTGTGAAGAGGGAGCTGGGAAAAATGACTATTGAAAGGGAAGAGGTGGAGGAGGCATGTTAAAGAGGTCAAAAACTTGAAGGGAAAAACAGATTTATATTGGAGGGGCTGCAGCCTAATGCTACGTTCACACCGTGATTAGAGCAGCAGAAGCAGCTAGTTTACATGCAAAGTCAATGGCTGGTTTTTGTGCACCAAGGTGCATCTAAAGGTCCTGCAGTTCGTCTAGAGCAGCTGAAGCATGAGCTTCTGATCATCTGAGGTGCGTGACGCACTTCACAAGCAGCAGCTGCTGGAGTTGGAAAAATTGAACTTTTGCTGCACGACGCATCACATCAACCGATCAGAGAAGCTGATCTGAGAGCTGTCAGGGAAACAGACTCCGCACTGCTGAAACAGTTTATTAACACACAAATTAACTTAAAATGAAACCTGCTGGCAAAATATGTTCTCTTATTATCCTGGTGTCTTCAGTTTGTACCACATAACTCAAAAATGCTAACATCTACTTCCAGCTGCCACCAACAGTAGGGGAAGACACCCAAGAGGCGACCAGCCCTGAGGCAGCTGCTGCTGGGGATTCCCAGTGACAGCGCACCACTGGTATGTGGGGGTCTGAGCAGCTCTGACAGAGAAATAATATGTGAAGGCAGAATTGTAATCTGTATGAACTGACTGCACAGACGATGTTTTCAGGTGGACTTCATCACTTAAAAATATATTCAAACTACTTTTGACCCACTGATCACAGCAAATATAGCAAAGCCGCTCTCATTGAACACAGGAGCAGCAGAAGCATCAGACGCATCTGGACACACGTTACTGGATGTCTGAACTTAATGTGGACAAACATCAGAAATGAAGCAGCAGAAGCTTTTTTGATGTTAAAAGCACGTTAGGTGTGAACATAGCATAAGGGGTCTTAAAATCCCACTGCCAAGGAATTAAATCATGTTAAAACTTGATCCAAACTATTACATCCTGGGTTTGTTGCCATTGGTTGAACTGGGATAAAGACAGTTACAATACTTCAGAGGTGTTGGATGGCTGCTATGAAAAGGATCACATGAACTGGATTACATGATCCCACGCTTGGTCAGAGGCACGATGGCTAAAGAAAACGTCTGAAAATTCACAAAAATGTCATTTGAGAATAGAAATGTTAACGGACTTGTGGGGTCCAATATTTAGCCTCTGTAACTCATATATTGTTTGAAATGTGACTAAACTGGGTGGAAACTTGCTAACTTTGTTACCGGCTGGGAAACCGTCTTTGAAAGCACGACTTCTAGAGTCGCATTTTGTTCTTATTTAACTTCGAACTGGTTGCATTTTTACAGGATAAAAATAAACATTGTTCAAACAATATTATGCTCAAATTTTTGGATCAGTTTTTACATTGTTATTTTTACTGTTTTATTGTTATTTATACTAGGGTTAAAACAATTTATCAGATTAATCGATTTTTGAAATAACTGTCAACTAATCCATTAATCAATTAACCATTAACTGGAGTGTAGAGACTCTAAAACATTCCTTTAGCTGACAGAGCGACCCACTTGGAGCAGGAATTATACCAAGATTGTAAAAAATTACATAAAGATTTTGCATTTAAGATAAAAAAAATACTTTTTTCGTCTGTCAATGTGCTCTATCCAGACCCCCTTAAGTGGAAAAAATTTAGTTTCACCTGGTCTCATTTCATAAAAATTCTTCTTTAAGGAACCTATTTCTATCTGATTATTAATTAATTAATTAAAAAATAATCAACAGATTAATCGATTTGCAAAATAATCGTTAGTTGCAGCCCTAATTTCAATTTATATAAACATATTTAAATTTTAGATGAAAATGTTGTATATTATTTGCATTTATTTCTCTCAAATACTGCTGTAAGCAAATTATTCTTTCAGCTAAAGGCCTGTTTTAGAGTCTGGGCCATTATAATAATATTCAGTCATTCTGCTGGTGAAGATCGTCAGTCATCCAGGTCGTAGTCATTTTTTAAAAAGTTAAAAAGCAATCCACTGGACTTTGTTTCTCAGTTTGAAGACGTTTCGCCTCCCATCCTATTTCAGTTTAAAATGTCAAAAATAGTGTTGAGTTCAAGGCTTTATAGAGTGGACCAAATGCCTTGTTTTGGCTTAGAAAACATGCAAATTGAACCGGATGAATGGGTCCACCCCTTTGGAATGGGGGTGGTTTGGGTTTTTTGTTATCCTGTAATATCCCATACCTGTCTATGTCTCTGAAAGGGGGGCCGTTACTGGGAATTGTTGGCCTGGCTGAACAGGTGAGGTGATTTGTTCCCCTGTAAGGGGGTGGAGGTTTGCAATGATAGTGAGAAGGAATCAACTCAATCAATGAATTGTAGGTTTTTGAAAGATGAAACCCGAGTTCACCCCCTCTGTTTAAGGTTGGTTTTTCTTTCTTAACATAGATGGCTTCCTTCACACCCCTTTCAAACCACCTATGTTCTTTGTCCAAAATGTGAACATCCCGGTCCTGAAAAGAATGTCCTTTGTCCATAAGGTGTAGATGTATCACAGTCTTTTCCCGAGGAGGAAAGACTGCGAAACATAAACCACGCGTTTATGGAGAGGTTGTTTGGTTTCTCCAATATAAAGATCAGAGCATTCCTCACTGCATTAAACTGCATACACCACTCTGTTCATCTTAGGTCAGGGGGTTTTGTCTTTAGGTTTCACTAGTCTCTGTTTAGGGGTCTTGTTTGGTTTGAAATGTACTGGGATTTTGTGTTTGGATGAAAGTTTTTCAAAGACTCCAGCAAAATATGTGATTTTTTTGTGTTTAATCTTCTCACCGTTATGTTCTGCGTCTTTTGGATTTCCTTGCTGATGTGTTTCTGTTCGTTGTGTTTTCCTTCTGTTTCAGTAGGGACATGTTCTGCCCGGTGTTGTAAGGTTCTGCTGACTGAGAGTTTGTGTTCCAGTGGGTGGTGTGAGTCAAAAAGAAGATATTGGTCTGTGCGAGTGGGTTTTCTATACACTTCAATGTTGAGGTTTCCATGTCCTTCCATGCTCACCAAACAGTCCAGAAAATGTAGTTTGTTGTCATTGCATCCTCTCTGGTAAATTTGATGTTGTGCTCAAATGAGTTGATGTGTCTTGTCAAAGCTTCCGCTTCTTTTATCTGGTTTTGAGGAACGTGTCATCCACATCTCTAAACCACTGGCTGTGGTGTTCCTCTGAAGGAGTCCAAAGCTCTCTTTTCCATTTCTTCCATGTACAGATTGGCTACAACTGGTGACACTGGAGATCCCATGGCACAACAATGCTTCTGTCCTTAAAAATGATCCTTGAACTTGAACAAGGTTGTGGAAAGTCAAAGGTCCAGTAGGGTGCAGATCTGGTCAGGAGTGAAATTAGTCCTGTTGTTCACTGCTCAAGGCTAACAAAGAACCTAAAAGACCCCTCTTCCAAAGGGCCGGACCTGTTTGTCCAGTTCAATTTGCATGTTTCTAAGCCAAAACAAGGCTTTGCTTTGGTCCACTCTATAAAGCCTTGAACTCAACGCTATTTCTTACATTTTGAATTAAAAAAGCTTCCTGGGTGGGAAGCGAAACGTCTTAAAAATGGAAACCAAGTCCAGTGGATTTTTTTTAACTGTTTTGGAATTTCATTGATTGATTGTTTCATTGTATTTAAAAAATACTTTTAATCCCACCAAAATAACAGAACAGCTCAGCTTTCAGTAAAAGGACTGGACTGCAAAAGTGACTGTACGGAGAAACGGGATCCAAACATCCTCTAACGGCACCAAAGCTCTGGAGAACCTGCTCATCAAGCAACACCAATGAAAGAATGAATCAGGAAGGCGACATTGAACCTTTTCAATCCAGGAAAGTCCACAGATCTGAAACTCAATAACTATCCGCTCAAGAACTAGGGCTGGGCAATTAAATGCGTTAGGCGCGTTAATATAATTGCAATTTCACAAACCACATTTTTCCAATTGCAGAGGCACTGATTTTGGTTTTATTACATACAGTATAAGAGAGCAAACAGCTAAATTTCGAATTCTAGCCCTTTAGGTGGCAGTAACATGCCTAAAGTGGGTTTGCAACCACATGGAAGAGAAGGGAGAGGAGCAGCTAGCTTGCAGATTCATGCCTGCAAATAGAAGTTAGACCTTTTTCACAAAAATGTTACAGCAAAAAAGGACTCTGGAAGAACGGAGGACAGACAGATGCTCAACCTAAACCTCTGATAGTTTCAGTGTTCGACCTCCATAGAACGAGGTTAAAGTTAAACCCGGTCACTGTTTGGACGTGCAGTTGGACACCTACACTCTACCAGGTTGTTCTGCAGCGGGGTGCCCGTCAGAACCACTCTCCTCCGGGTCTTAATGGCGTTCATGGTCTGGGAGATCTTTGAGGTTTCATTGCGAAGGATGTGACCCTCGTCACAAATGACAAAGTCTGGACCTGAGAGAAGAGAAGACAATAGATTAAAAAACGGATGAGACATTAGAGGATGAACCAGAGGGATCGGATCACAATTCCTGAACCTGGATCTACTAAGGGGCTCCTCAGCTTCTGGCGTAGGACTGGAGTGTTCTGCGTCAGGAGGCGGTACATCTCATACCCCATGATCATAACTCCTCCCTCCCTCTGCCACCTCTGCAGAGTGTTGAGTCGGTTCAGATGATCCTTGACCGTGGCCAGCTCTAAAACCTGGAACACATCCTTCTGCTTGTATCATCCAACAGGTGAAAATAATCTGACTTGGCTCGTTGTCTCACCGTACCCGGACTTTATTCTCCCCCAGATTGTGCTGCCATTTCTTGAACTCGCTGACCCAGTTGAGGATCGTGTTGAGCGGACAAACCACCAAGGCGGTTCTGAAGGTCAGCTTCGATGAGAGCAGCACCGTGTTAAGGAACGCCACCACCTGAGGAAACATGACGTTGAGCAGGAAGTCACGATGAGCTGAGAGTCTTTCTTATCTGTGTTCCCTACCTGCAGAGTCTTTCCCAGACCCATGCAGTGTGCCAGGATGCATCCTGATCCGGGGGAAGAGTTGGCCTTCTCCACAGACTCACAGCAGCTGTCCCATATGAACTTCACACCTAAGAGAGGAGAACAGGACAATGTCAGGCCACGCCTCACTGCAAAGAAAAATGGAGGTCAGAACACCGGCAGTGACCTCCAGTCTATTTAGCTCTGGTGTTTAAGGGGAATTGACTAAGACAAAGCTGCGATCTGGGCAGTCTTTTAGTAAGCAATGCGTACAGGCGTACATTGTATACATAGTTTGCTTTTTTTTCTCCCCCGGTGCTTGCAGTTTGTACCACATGCCTGAAAAATGGTAACATCTACTCCAGCCGCCACCAACAGTAGGGGGAAAGCCCCATGAGGCGACAGGGCCTGAGGCAGCTGCTGCTGGGGATTCCCAGTGACAGCGCACCGCCCGGTATGCAGAGGTCTGAGTTGCTCAGTAAGAAAAATAATATTTGAAAGTGGGATGGTAATCTGGATTAACTGACTGCACTGATAATGTTTTCAGGTGGACTTTATCACCTAAAAATATATTAATATGTATTAAAACTACATTTTACCCACGGATTACATAAAAAATAGCAAAGCCACTCTCTGCCAGCAGAAACATCTGGAAACACTTTACTGGACATCTGACCTTAACCTCTCAGAAGGCTTTTAAAGTGTTTACAAATAATAACTCAGAATGCATAAGAAAATGACACTGGTAAAATGTTTACCAATATAGACATGTTAGACATTGTTGGAAAGCTTAAATTTTCCACAATTCAACCACCTAGTTCATTTTATGGACACAGGGAGCACCAAAACACAATTAACACAGATATAGCAGCATGTCAAAATGTACCATGAAAAAGCAGCCACAACAAGCAAGCATGTCTTTATAACTGCTGTTCAAAAATACCTATTATTTTCGAGAATAAAAAGAAAACTTCTCGTTTGAACTGATGCAGCTTGGGTGTTTTTAATGTATATATTCAGAAACTAGAAGGTGTTAGCTTTCAAATAATGTACCACACATGGAATTTGGGCTTACAGTTCCTAAGTCATTTGCTTTTCTATTCGGGTATGCAAAATAGGGGAGGATTTCCCAAAATAAGGTGGATATTAAGAGGTTATGTGGACAAGCTTTAGAAATAAAGCAGCAGAAGCTTTTTTGATGGTCAAAGCGCGTACAGTGTGAATATAGCATTAGAACGACCCTCTGGAGGCAAAAACCAAAACCTTCAGAGAAATCCATCTTAAAAATAAAAATCAGTACAATCCGACTGAAATTTAACCAATTAATTAATTTAATTTCCCTTTTGGGATTTATAAAGTATTTTTTAATTGGTTGAATTCATAAAAATGGAAAATAACTCCAGTTTCTAGTAAAGCAATGAGACCCATTCTACCAAAGAAAGTATAGTTTTAGGGCTTTAGGCTTTTTATTTGTGATAATTATTATTTCATCAAATGAAGAAACATTCTGCAAATGTAAATAAGAAAAGACAAAAATGAATGCAGCAGTAAGAACTAAAAATACAAGATAATTTTAACATAATTTTTTTTTATTTTTTTCGCTTCAAGCCCAATAAAATTGGTCAACTTGACCAATAAAATGTTGTTGCTAATGTCCAGCCAACCAATAGAAATGTCCACAGCAAAGCCTCCAGAGTGGAGAAATAATAGAAAAAAATTAAAAAAGTTAAATTTGAGAATATAGAATCTGTAAAAAAAAAATGTTTTTGAAAGAATAACATTTTTATAAAAAAGTTTTTTTTTTTTTTATTCTTGGCTTGATTTCTTTTTCTAAATTTCCAACAGCAAAACATTTCCTTTGCAACAATAATGGAACAAAATTCACTCTATATTTCTAAGCTGTGAAAATGATCTAAAGATAAGTAAAACATTCTATAAATAATCATAGTTCCCTAATATGACCATGCAAGTAAAATTAGTATTCTGGCCCCTAGGACAGAATAATTGCACACACTGCACTTGAAATTAAGATAATAAAGAATGTTTTTTTATTTTTCTAAATTTAAGAATAGTTGCTCTTAGAAATAATATTGGCGCATCATTTAAAGGGGAAAACAGTTTTGTTTTTTACATTGGGCCCTTGATTTTATCATGTTCTAGTCACCCATATGAGTTTTGTGTCATTTGGAGCTGTTCTGAAGATATTCGGTTTTGTAATCCAAGTAACGTCTTTCTATGGGCAACGACTTGAAAGCACAAACTAAACTGTTCATAATTTATTCTTTATGGTACGCCAGCATTCATAACATGTAGGGAATCACTGTCCCCCAGACATCCACGTTTTTTTTTGTTGATATTTATATATTTTTTTTAAATCAAAGCGGCGCATGTAGGACATTTGTAATGTGATTTATTCAATAAAAGAATTATAAATAGACCAGTTGCATTTCCTGCAGATGCCTTTATTTCTGACTTTATTTCGGAGCATTTATCAAGCATTTATTGTTATGTAGGTAAAACTGCCCAATTGATTGTGAAATTGACATGACGTCATATCGCCCAGCCCTAGCTGGAAGAACAGAGTGTGTCAGAGTTGAGCGTGCAGTACCGGACAATTCAGGATTATTTTCACCCCTGCTGCTGCTACCATGATCTGTCTGCGTACATGCAGAATGTGCAGCAATGTACGCCAGGTGGGCGTGACCAAACAGGACGCAGCAGCACGGCTGATACTGCTTAGTAGATTACAGCACAATAATGCATTTTAAACGCCTGACAGACCACCCACTATCGTTTTTATTTAGTCTCCTCTCATCAACGAAAACTCAAACCTATGAGACGTCGAGGAAAACTACACTGGAAGTGTAGCACACTTTTTCCTTCCAGCAAACTTTCCATGAAGGCAGCCTTTTCTGGCAGCATAAGTGTCTCCATGATGGCACATACCTGACACATCATTGCTGGATCTAAACCTCCATTGTTTTGTTAAACTCTTGCTTCATTTGGGTATTTTGCCTTTTTTGTTTTCATTGAAATTAACAGAACTGAAAGCTTTGAAGTTCTCTGTTCCCAATGATTCTGTTTCCCTTATTGCGTGAAAAGGAGTAAAATAATTTATCGTATTGAGAAACTGACCGTCCACCTGGTGAGGCTTCAGGTGCGTCACCAGGTTCCTGTGGACCTGAACCAGCGGCATCTTGGTCTCCTCATCCTGGTCCAGGACCAGCTTGGTGGTGATGGGACAGTCCACCTGAGACAGTTCATCTGGGATCACCGTTATCTGAACAAGAACAAAGAATCCTCTGGAGAAAAACATACTGGTGTTTTCCAGGATGAGCTGCAGCAAAAGGAAAAGCTTTAAGTTTCTAAGGAGACCTGCTGTACCTCTTTCCAGTCCTCCATCTGTTGCAATCTGTCAGCCAGGCGCTTCCGTCTCTCCTCCTCCTCTCTGAGGGCCTCCTGGGTTTCAGCGCGGAGGTTTTCATCCTCGATGATTCTGCGGATCTTTCTGCGTCCTTTAGGGGTTCCTCTACTTTCACTGGTCTCCTCGCCTCCATCCTCTTTGTCGCTCTCCTTGAATCAAAGAACAAAAAGTGAAATATGACAGAATCTTCTTTTTTCCCCACAAACTACAGACTGAAGCTGCTACCTCTTCAATGCTGGAGTCAGACAACAGAATGCAGAACGGTTGATTCTTTCCTTCCGAACTAAAGGCTAATTCCTCATCTTCTGCTTCAGATCTGGAGCAAAAATAAGACAAATTAATTAAGGGGGAAAAAAATAGATAAAGTTCAGTAAATTAGACGAAAAAAATAATTCTAAATCAGTACAAAATTATCTGAACTGTCTTATCTCCGGTAACTTGAAAAGGAAAATAACGAGTAATATTGTCCTAAAATAAGATAATTTGATATCATGCACCTTATATTACATTTATTTTGAACATAATTTTACTTCACTGGTTATTAGGTTATCTTAGGTTTAATTAAGATAATAAAATAAAATAAAAGGCAAGTTTCAAAAGGTTGTTTTCAGAGCACAGCTGGAGTTGAACAGACAGACCTGGTCCGGCCCGGATAGAGGTGCCAACAAACCAGGTCAGCCTCAAACTAAATTATAATGGATGTCTGGTCACAGTGAACCTTCCTAAATGTTTTCTATAAAATAAAATGGATTTTAATGTAATTTCCTCAGACTCAGGATCATATATATATATATAAATCTGATCTAATATGAAGTAAAAATTCTTTAAACTAATTCAATTTACCCTTAAATTCAGCAGGTAAATAAGATGATCGGGTAAATGAGGATTTTTATGATTAAAATAAGATTACTATTATCGAAATGAAATGAATTAAAGGAATCTTTTTTTATTTTATTTATACAGCTGTTTTGGTTCATTAAGTCAATAGAACTGAGGTCTGGCTCAGAATCGAGCTTTGATGTGCGTTTTGGATTGCTGTCCTGTGTGAACGGCAAGGAGGTCGGTCAGTGTCTCTGATCACAGTCAAGCGTGTTAAATCAAGCTAGACTAAGGGGTGCCGACCCTGAAGAGAGAACTGGACCAGCCGTCCCCCCGAGCTGAGGCAGCACCCTGTTCACGCTCTCCTCTCCTGTCCTGTCAGCTTACTAACTGATAAAAGATGGAAAACTTCGGAGATCTTCAGGTTCATCCCAGAGTGCTGCATGGTGTCGGACAGGACGACCATCCCAAACAGAAACTGCGTTAATGTCTTTTTAATTTCTGTTATTACCCTGCACTGGAACCTGGGTAACACATTTTACACCACCTCCGGTTTGAAGACATATGGAAAGAAAATAAAATCTTGAACTCAGATTTACTGAAAACTAACAGACTAAAACTCACTGTAGAAACCGATCCTAAAGTATATTTTAATGTCTTAATCAGCTTATTTTATCTTAAATTGAGTAGGAAAATACAACGATCTGCAATTTTAAAATAAGATAATTACATATTATTAGGGCTGTAACTAACGATTATTTTGCAAATCGATTCATCTATCGATTTATTTTAGAATAATGGATTATTAATCGGATAGACAAAGATTCCTTAAAAAGATTTTTTCAGAAATGAAACCAGGTAAAAATAAAACTTTTCCACTTGAGCTGTTCTGGATAGAGCAGATTGACAGGCTAAAACATTTCCTTATCTTAAATGCAAAATGTTTATATATTTTAGCTTGAAAAAGTTCAGTTTAGGCAACTGGACCTGAAGTTTCCTAGAAGACGTTTTGCCTCTCATCCAACAGGCTTCTGATCCCCCTAATTCTTTGTTCCACCTTCAGTATGTTAATCTCAGAGCTCCCCACCACTAGTTAGAACTGAAGAAGCCTCTTGGATGAGAGGAGAAACGTCTTCTAGAAAACTTCACATCCAGTTGCCTAAACTGAACCCTTCAAGCTTGACCCTGACCTGGATGACTGAGAATCTTCACATATATATATATTTTTTTTTTTTTACAATCTTGGTATAATTACAGCTGTAAGTGGGTCACTCTGTCAGGCATGTTTTACAGTGTCTATGATAAAGTTAACGATTAATCAATTACTAAATTGGTTGACAATTATTTCAATAATTGATTAATCAAGTTATTTCAGCCCTACATATTATGCACTTAAAATAATAGCTCTTTATTTTAAATATAAATCCTATTATGCTATTGGAAAGTTATCTTATCAGATCATATCAATAGAAAAATCACTTATTTTAAGAAAAAACAAGAACTCTTATACCAGTTTTTGGACGAAGAATCTAAGTGAGCTACTTTGGTTAAAATAAGTGTATTTTCTCTTTATTGGAACAGATAAGTGAGTTTATTAACAAAATATGATTTCCGTTTAAAAGAAGAAAAAACTTCTCATTTCAGGAGCATCATATCTAAAATATCGTAAGGATCAAAAACACCCTTTCCATTCCCATCAACCTGCAGGTTAAATACACCAACTTTAAGAACATTTCTTTTATTTGTAGGTTTTCTGTGTATATAAATCTAACAGAGTACATGACTGAAATTCCACCTGAAGTTCTTTTCTAAGAATTAAATCTTTTTTGAAAGCCATCATCTGGTGATTTAAACCTGACATCGAGTGTCTGAGACGAGTGGTAGAAGGAAATATTTTAGCACAAGAAGCAAAGGTGCAGAAACTGTTTTTTTTTCTCATTTTTGTGCTTTTTGTTAAAGATGAAAACAATCTGTGGCTGGTGAATAAATTGAAAGTACCTGTGGAGCCCATCGTCAGCAGCCTCTTCGTCTGACTCACTCAGCACCTCGCTCATCTGCATCTCTCCACTACCTTCGCTACAAGTTTCACTCCCAGCTTAACAGGAGATAAAAGCTAAACATTAGAGCAGTCGGACCTTCCTTCTCCTCCTGCTTGTGTTGCATGTTTGCTTACAAAACAGATGTGTCCTTCTGGTCCTTCTACTAATCTTCTCCGTCTCTACTCCCCCCTCAGGTTCTTCCTTGTCATTTGAAGCTCCCTCATCTAATGTGAGTTTGTGGCGGAGCAGATGGTGCCTGGACTTTGGCTCATCAAGTTTGCCGTCTGTGGACTCTGAAACCAGGTCTTCTCCTGCAGCAGAGATACGTTCTATGTGACATCGACCCGTTCAGAGCCCAGGTTGACAGCAAGGAGTCGAGCCAACACTTAAATGAGATGGATTTCTTCTTAGAAAAAGCTGATTGACTCACCGTCTTCATTGGCTGGATTCTCCTCAGAGCCTTGGCTCGGTTCGCCGTTGCCCTCTGAATCAGACTGATCCTCCTGAGTTTCCCCTTCAGAAGAAATGTCCTCATCCGAAGAGAGGTTGGCTTTTATTTGGGCCAATAGCAATTGCTTAGCGATTCTTTTAAAAGTAAAACACAAGGAAAAAAGGTGCCTGTAGTTTACTTGGGAATCACTTCAATAATTTCTTACAGATTTAACAGCAGCTGTTTATAAGTAAGGTAAAACACAAACAGAAAAATAACAGAGATCTAAACCTGTCTGTGAAGTGATCAAACTAGGAAGTAAGGCAATAATGGACGCAGAGACATTTTAAAAGTAAATATTTATTACAACAATTAATATTAACAGACAAAACTTTGAGAAGAATCAAAATTATTTTGCATTTTCTGTGCTTTTGAGAAAGACTGTGGATAAAAATGTCTTTTTCATGCTTGTAACAGTTGATTTCCAGGAGAAAAGTCGAGGATTTCTTAATCAATCCACTTCTTGACCTTTTGGAGTTGCAGTGATGTTCAGTTCTGACTAAAGGGGCAGACCACTTCACAAACAAAACAAACAAAAACAAAATAACAATAAAAGAAGAAGAAGGCACAAAACAGCATAACAGAGAAGTTCATTCTGAAAATGTAGGTAGAGTAAAATGCCTTGTTTTTTAAACTCTGATGGGAATTAAAACAAAATAAAAGGGGGAAAAAAATCCCGAGAGATTAAAAATTAACAATAAATATATTCGGTTTAGAAATATAGAAAGAGTTTGGTTCTGGTACCGGAACCCTCAATATGTACAGGAAGACCAGCAGCGACTGCCAGCTCAGTGGTTTCTGAGACCGACTCTGCTTCAGTTTATCATTAGAATGTTTCATTTTTTGAATGATGATCACTCCCATTTCTTTTTCTTTGTCCACATGACTTGAACATGATTAGGATGGATTAGTACAGTACAGTAGTTACAGCAGAGGTGAAAGACGAGCACCATTAGTGTCAACTTAAACAAAAAACATCATCTAAACAGGGAGCAGGGTCAAAGACGACTGTGATTCTACAAAATCCAAAAAATAACCACAAACAAGGTTCACTTTACATTTCTGCTGACCATTTTCATCACTACCACTACAGCTAAAGCAGACTACAGCGTTAAAGGAGGGAGGGGAGGGGGGGGGGGGGGGGGGGGGGGGGGTGCGATAGGAGCATAATGTCCCAGATTTCCTAACAGCATTGCTTTCACTGCTGTGCTGTCAGAAATTCCAACCTGGAAAAAAAAACACGGAAAAAACAGACATGTTTGTCGTTAAAGGCATGATGGAAATGCTTCACATTTTTTTAAAGTCACGTTTCACAGCCCACTCTCAATTCCCAGATATATACAAAGTTGCCACTAAATTCTGAAGAGAAAAAAAAAGGTCTTAAGCTGCATAACTGCAGGAAACATTAGTTTTTCCAGTTAAGAAGAATTTAGGTCCTCACATTTTAGAATAATGAGATAAAAAAGGTTGTGACTGATTTAAATGGTCAGCAGAAATGTATACTCTGTGTATAGAAAGTGGTTGCAAAACAGGAAAAAAAACACCAGACCAGAGTCAGAATATCCTAGAAACGACTAAAAAAATGGACTAATAATGAGACATGAGGTGATGATGAAAAACCAAAAGAGGAGAGGACGGATCTCTGATCGCTGGGAAATAAAAAGTGGCGATAAGACAAATTAATTAGGATGTCGGGATCAGTTCTACAATACAAATCTAATGAAAAAATCCCGTTCCATTAGGTTCTAGCTTCGTTGGTTTTCAAGTGAAAAGTCACGACGCAATGAGCACCGAGGTTGTTCCAAAAGCTTTACCCAACAGCAACCTGAGTTATTATCAGCTGGAAATCATGAAGGATGCTGCTGTTATGGGGAAAGTACGAAGGCGGATCCTTTTATTACCAACAGATTTAGGATTTCTTCTGAATCTTGTGATTTTATTCATGACTTTATATTGCATAGATATTTCATTTATAATTCATGTTATATTCATCTAGAATAGGTTTCTCAGGATAAATCCCATTTCATAGGTACTAAATTCTAACATTAATATAAGGGGAAAAGTAAAGTACTAACAAGTCTGGGGAGATCCTAAGATGAGCAGAACCCAACCAGCTACAGCAAGAAGACGCTTTGAAAGCTCCTCAGAAGCATCTGTGCCCTGATTGGTCACAGCTTTCTTTAGAAGGAGAAATAAAAGCTAAGATGCAGCAGATTAAAGTTTATGCTGCTCTTCAAATGACTGCTTCTGGATTTTTTTAATACTTCATTATAAGCTTTAGAGGCAAAGCTGCATGTTTTTAATCGCCGTCATTCATAAAAACAGCCTCAAACTTCTGTTTTCACTGCAAGCAGGGATGCTGGAGCTCATTTCAACTAAAGAAGCTGAAGGACCCATTGCTTCCTGTCCAATATGGCCACCGAGCTATCGTGGGAGGTGCTGGTTTTCCATAGGATTTTTGACAATAAACTAAAGGCACACATAATGGAGACGCACATATCGACATGGCTTTGTCTTCCTGATATGGAGTTCTTGAACGGTTTCTTTCCCTTCACTTCATCATCAGCAGTCTGGCTTAGACTCTGAATTTTATTCCCATTAATGTTCTCAGTCATTCTGCCGAACACAGGAAGAGTTTAATATGGCGTCTGCCAAAGGTGCACACACACAACAAATACTCCTACGAGCATCTTTATTAGATACATTTGCTTATAAACTGATCCTCACACACATCTAATGTTCTACATGCGAGTACCACAAGGCCCCAATATATCACAAGAGTGCTTATTACTTTGTGCATGTTGACCCGTTTCTGTGCGCTCCTGTCCACTTTTATCACTTTGAAGGAGTTAACCGCGGGACAAAGCAGCCCGCCTGTGATTGGCTACTCTTCAGGAAATCCCGCCTCTTGAGGCTGCGCTCTTCTTAGCAAAGCCACTTCAGGCCGGCCGCTTCTCCTCAGGAGTTTGTAATCACACATTAAATATTCACAATAATGGTCTGTGTGAATATTGGATTCTGATTAGTTTATTTGTCTGTTAAAAAGGAAACCTATAAAAAAAAAAAGTTCAAGTCAAATAGCTCCCGTTTCTGCAGGCTCAAACATTAGCTGGACAAGGGAAGCATGTTGACACTGGTTACCTTGGCAACATGCCCCAACCCAACCTGCTACTAACTGTTCCTTGTAAAACATTAAATATGCGTGTGACGAGAGGTTATGAGCATCTGAAATAAAGCTGCTCGTTGGAGTATTTATTGCGTGTGTACGTTTGGCAAAATCCTGACGCAGTCATTTATCTGCAAGTACGCTTATGATGCGGTACCGCTCTGTAGTATTACGACTAATAATCACATATAATTATTCTTTTATTGTAGAATCAAAGACAGTCATAGTGAGTAGAAATATAGTAATACTGTAAGATATTTACTGTACTTCGTTCTAGTTAGCTTAGCTAATGTAGCTAATTGCTTTCCCTTGCAGACGCACCAAGAGTTGAAGATCCTTCACAAAGCCGTTAAAATACTGATTTTAGGCATCTGTGGATTTCCTCCACTGTATCGAAACCCAATTGTTCACTGAATAATTAACTATGTTATGAGAAAGATCCCGGTCAGCTGACATGTTTTCTTTCTCTACCACCAGTGAGAGCGTCGGCCGCGCAGCTTCCCCTCTGAGCTAAAGGGTTGATTCACAGTTTTAAAGGAGGCAGGTCTGCCTTAGATCGCCTCTGCCTAAAGAAACAAAACCCAGAACATGGAGGCTGATCAAACTTGCCCTTGATAACCATTGAAATTACAGCTTTAAAACATAGCTTGAGATTTATTATACGTTTATGAAAAGAGAAAACAAAGAAAAGCTCATTCCTAACGCCGTTAAACCAGGATTTAATTGTTCAGTAAAACAATTAAAACTGATTTGTTTTTTGATTGATGAAACCTAAAAGCTGAAAACTGGTTTTGTTCAACTAAACCCAAACGCTGAGTACGGTCAAGTTCATCTTAAAGGTATGGTGAAGGATGAGCACGCTCTCACACACGTTTAATAAGCGTTCCCTCGTGGGAGTGGATACAGGGTTGTGCATGTGCAAATTTTTTTTTTTCTTCAGAAAATCTTGAAAAATCCTCCACTATAACTTTAAGCCGTGTTGTGATCGATGGCTGATCAGACCTTAGAGCAGCATAAACACACCAAGAGCTAAAACCGCCGTCATTCGTGGAGCGGAGAGAAAATAAGGCTTTGGGTCAAAAGAATAAAAAAAAAAAAAAACAGAACCTTTTCTAAAGGTTATATGAGGCGAGAAAGTAAAAGGAACATAAATGGTGAAAGTAATGTAGAACAAAAAAAAGAGATAAAAACTGGATGAAATCGGTCGAATATTAATTCAGGAGTTCATATTGTTAAAACGTGGAAATCAGAACCGAGACAGAATCAGAACCCAGGTGAAGCATAAAGGTTTTCTTTTTGACCAGACCTATAGCTAAAAACACAATATTTCTCCAATTTTGTTTTCCCAAAAACTCGACACCTACTAAATCCAGATTATATTCTTTTTAAGCGGGTTTCTAAACTCTACAGGTTTGGTTTAATGGTGGATTACATTAAAAACAAACAGTCAGACACATTTAGCTTAAATTAGATCACATTGAAAACAAAGGTGAGAGTAAAACAAACTTCTTCATCTGTTTGGGTTTCTGCTTCAAGGTTGACTGTTAGAAGAAGCCAAGTGGATGGGGAGAGAATCCAATAGAATATCATTAAAAGGTTTTTACCTCCAAGGATATTTTTCATAAATACAAAATAAAGACATTGAGATAAAAGGTCCCAAAGCGGACATAACGGACAGAACCGTGAAGTTCTTCTGCTAAAATGTATATTTGATTGTTGGGGCTGCGCAGCTACGTCTGGGACGGGTCTGAAAAGAACGCAGCTCAGTTCTAATGACTTTGGTGTTGGCAGCTTTTGCACGGAACCCAGGATTTGAAGGTGCATCCTTTTTTCTACATCTAGACTTTTTTACAAACTTGACTTCCCGGCTTTTAGAACCGTACCTATTTTCAGGATCTTCGTCGTCTTCTGCTGCCCATGAGGGCCCAGACTGCTCCTCATCTCCTTGAGAAAGACAGAAAAAAAAAGATACTTTTTTAAGGATTAGGTCTCTATTTATCCCATTTACACTACCCTTTTGAAACCGTGCCGAGATAACTGTTAAGTGCTAATGGCAGACACAAACCACAGAGTGCTAAACTGGTACTAGTTCATCAGTATTTCAGCCAGAACTGAGGAGCCCCCCCGAGCCCTGTTCTGCGTTGATTACAGATTATTATCAGAGTGTACAAGCCCAGCTGTGAAATCAGTGATGCTTTGCGTCGTCATGGAGATGCACATTACTCTAGGGTTGATCATCGAGCATAACTTACAAAAACAACTCTCTCTAATGTGTACAACGCTTCATCTATGATTTTACTTTAAAGTCCAGATACCAAAGTGAGGACAAGAAAGGTTGATTTGCAGCTGGTGTTACCCCGGTAACGCCAGCTTGAAATCAGAGAGGACGCTGATTTTGGAGCAGGGAACTGAGATAGAATAGATTAAGAGAAGGAAATGTCAGCCCTGGAGTGCCACTGTCCAACACCCGAACAAATAGATGGTTCATTTCTAGCCCTCCACTAAACTTACCAACATGCCAAGGGAGTAATTTTGCCTTTGGTTTCAGGTGTGTTCCAGGAGGAATGCATGCAAAAGCTGCAGGACAGTGGCGCACAAGGACTGACGCTGCCAACCCCTGGACTAAATATCTCCTACTCACAACATCCTCTAAACAAGTCACTCATGAAATATTCGCCGTGTCGGTGCTGCTTAAAAATATTATCTCCATGACCATAGTTTCTGGTTCTAGGAAAATGTCCAAAATGGTAAACTAAAAGAAACATTTTAGCACCTGTTTAATGTAACCATTAAAAAGAGAAAAGTGCTGCCTTTTTTTTTTTATGAATTTTATAACAAAAATATTAAGTAGCTAACAGCTGGTGGGTTTTTTTCTAACCAAAAATCCAAAGAACTAATCATACGTTGATTCTCGTTTAACATTTGATATAATTGTGCAATTTAATTAAAAGGTAAAAGGAGGAAGAAACAGCAACATCAGCTCTAAGGACTGCCACCCAAAAAATTGGCAGCACATATTGGCCATTGGTTAGACTGGTGTTGAAATAATCAGTATTGGCCTCAAATAACCCCTATGGCTTGATCTGTGCTAAGAAATAGAGATTGACCAATAAAGATATTATTTTAAGGCCAATTTTGATTACATAAATCTGATCAAATCTGATGGATTAGAGCCTATAATTTTTTCTCCCCCATCTACATGATAAGAATAGCACAATGATTACAAATGTTACAGAGGTGTAAAAAGGGAATAAAAAGGGTAGGCTTCATTTAAAGGTCAAGAAATGGCAGCTGAAAACATTAACGAATCAGTAATTGCATACAAGTCTGGACAGAAAAAGAAAAAAAAAACACTACTGTTGGCTGGTCTCTACTATGAAAGACTGCAAAGATCTTTTCACTTCTATCGTATCATACAACAAAATAAGAGTTTGAGTCATTCTATCACACAGAATGCTGTTATAAACCCAATCTGTGGTGCATTATTTTATGAGCAGGAAAAACTTGTACCAATTGCTAGGATTTAAGTTGTGTACGAGTCACAGCAAGTCACAGTCACGCCTACACTTTAGCATGCATTCATGAAGGATGTTAGATGAACTTTTAATAGGCAATGCCGTTTGGGTTTGTCCAATTTGATGCACAAGCTAGAACCCGGTCAGATGTTAGAGGTTTAACCTGTGACCTAATCACATGGTTTAGATTTTTCTCATTGCTGCATTTCCCCACTTGCAGAGTCCAGAAGTGGTCTTTCCTTCCTGCTCCTTCTCTATGGCTCCTCCAGAGTTACCAAAATCCAGCTTCTCTTGTTGACTGAAGAGGATTTATTAAAACAATAAGGCTGCTAATTATTTTGCTATCTTTTCAATTAATATTTGGGGAAACTCTTTCATTTCTTAGCCTATGAATCTTCCAGTCCTTCTCACTGTTCATCTGTTTTTCATCAGCTCGAGCTGATGTCCCTTTCTTTTCTAAATTATATAATAGATCATATGAGGCCTGTTGGCTCTCATGCAGATTCTATCCCTCCTCGGTTGCTTAAAGAGATACTTGCTACAATTGGACCAAACATTCTGTAAAACAAATAGTAAAATAGTAGTTTTTAAGCATGTAGTTGTGAATCTTCTTAAAAAGGCAGGCCTCAACTAGGGCTGGTCAATCAATTGCATTTGCCATATAATCGCAATTCACCAAAGCGCAAATTTCAAAACAGAGACAATTTCAGTCAATTTTCATTTCAGAATAGTAATAGTGAGTTCACACCGAACCTGTTTTGGATGTCAAAGGATCTGATTTACATGCAAAGTCTATGGGGGACGGCGCTGAGAAGTCCAGCGGCGCGCCCACGAATCAGGTGCAGCAAATCCAAGCGTCCGGTGCAGGAGTTCAGAAATCTTAACTTTTGCCGCTGGATGCCGGGGCGTCAACCAATCAGAAAAGCTGATCCAAGTGTTTAGGAGGAGGCGGTATGGTGGAGATCTGGTACTCCGAACAAGAACTGCATATTTTAGTGGGATCATAACCCTGATGAACAGAGGAAGTTTGGAGGTGGAGTTTCTCGCTTAAAATGTCTAAAAACTATTTTTCCAACTCATAAAGTAAATAAAGCCAAGCTGCTCTATAGCTCGAAGCTACAGATCAGTAACATGACAACAGCCAGATGCATGTCTAGCTCCGGCTAGCTCCTCTCACATACATCTGGGACACCGCTCATTGAAAGTGATTTCCCCAACCGAATTTATGGTCTGGCCAATCAGGACGCAGGGCGGGTGTGTCCTGCATGTGACGTAGTGGAGAAGCGAGTTCTGTAAGTCCTTCGTCTATACTTTTTTGGTTGGCTTCTTTTTTTTAAATAAGTCTGCTGTGCACAATGTTGCCTTTTATCCGCACATTTTCATGGCACAAACGACACTGATCATTTACCGACATTGCGCTGATTCCACTGTTGCTATATCCAAGATGTCGGCTGTTCTGTTTTGTTTTTTTTTCCTGCGTAGCTCTCACAGCGTCACGGGTTAGCTTCGGTGTGAGTGGTTGAAATAGCACGTCGATAAAGATGACAGACAAGTGGCTTATCCAATCATATGCAAGGAGTTTTGATAAGGCCCAGCCTTCAGTAAAGGCAATTCCTATGGCGGTGTCCCAGAAGTATGTGAGTGGAGCTAGGCGGAGCGAGACATGCATCTGGCTGTTGTCAGGTTAACAGATCAGAGCAGATAAAAACAACCAGAGCGCCAAAGCAACTTGACCAGAGTTTGATCCAGTGTGGAAATTTTGTTGTTAAAGCATTTTTTTTTTTTTTTTTTATGGCCAGATAGCGTTTGGTGTAAACGCACCTTTGAGGCTGGTCTATAATCAGAAACCAGGTCATCTGCGTGTCACAGTGAACGCAAATATGCCCCCTCCACAGACACTCTAATGCACCTCTCCAAAATTTTAAGGTGACTGCAGATAGAGCCACAGAAAGGAGGGCTCTGATTGGTCAAATCTACATCTGCTCTACACAATGCATATTTCCTGTTTGGTACCTTACCGGCTTGTTTTGTTTGTATGACCTCCATTTAGAAAACGACTTGTGAAGATAGACCGGCTTGAAGAACAAGGTGCATGACAACGCTGGGACCCTTTTTCCGACTGGATCCCCGCTCTTTTTCGCCCTAATGTCCCTCTGTTGTTGCACAAACTTGCCCCCACTTCCTCACCGCCTCAGCCGTATCTAGACCCACAGCTAGTTTGTGATTATCCCTCTTGTGTTGTGGAGTGGAATAACGTAGCGCAGACCAGGCTTCAATATTGGGCATAAATCAAAAATATCTGGAACAAGCTCACTGTGACACACTGCTGCGGGAGGATAACCAGCCCTTTAGACTCAAAATGTATCCCTCCAGGCCTTTGGGCGGAGGCTATACACTTAAATCTGGTTTGCCTCAACAAAGATTAGAAGAGAGTTGCAGCTTGCATGATAGAGCATGATAGAAACAATAAATTCATGTTATGCAACTGGATGTAAAGTTTTCTAGAAGACGTTTAGTGGTTGGGGGCACCGTTCTCCCCACCACTATGTTATAGAAGCCATGTTTTTTGGACCGAGTTGTTGTCCTTCACCGTACGTAGATCATGGGTCACAGTCTGTTGATCTCAGGGACTTTGTCACAAATCTAAGGGTAAAGTTTGACTTCAATCTAAAATTTGAAAAACAGAGCAGCCGTGTGGTTAGAACAGGTTTTAATCATTTTGGTAAATAGCCAAATTAAGCAATTCTTGGCTAGACCTAACCTGGAGAAATTAGTCCACCTTTTTTTTTTTTTGTCTTTTCACGTCTGTACTATTGTAATGCACCAAATATAAGCATTAGTCAGGCCTCTCCAGCCCGCCTGCAGTCTGTGCAGAACTCAGCTGCTTGCTTGATAACCAACACCTGCAGGTGTGAATATATTTCCGCCATTCTGGCCTCCCTTCACTTGCCCCTGTTTATTATCGAGTTCATTTTAAACTGCATCAAGTAAAACTGATTATAAGAAGTTCATTCCAGCCTATGTTTCTGCACTAAGAATGGAGGAAGTAATAATTAAAGCTTTATTAGCCAACATTATAAATGACTGTCTGGAGCAGAATGATAAACTACGGTAGAATGTCTGGCTGGTCTCTGCTGTGCTTCCTGTAACTGTTCGTTGGTGTGGAAACAGCTTAGCAAAAGAGGAAGTGGCATTAAAGCGGAGGCCTTCTCAATTGTAAAATGATTTTGATTATAAATGGTTTTGACAAAATATCTATGATTCTGTCAAAGTATAACAAACTCTTATACCAATGTGTGGATGTAATACATTGTGATCCCATTGTGTTTCTGTATTAGGAATGAACAATTGATCTAGGTTTTAGGCAAGAGACAAGTTAATGACAGATTGGAGGCGACTATAATAATAAACAGACACAAGGGAGAAGCAGAATTCAGTGGATATGTCATTAACTCAATGAATTCAATATCTATCAAGTATGTGTTTAAGTTGAGGATGGGAAAAGCTGGGTTAGTTAAGAACAATACGCTTTAAATGGTGCATAGACTGTTTTATTGATCTAGGGAAGAAATGGGAAGTGGTTGAGAGGTTGCAGGACGTCCAGCAAAATAAAAAAGGTCCGTCTAGTCTGGATAATGAGTCGTGACCTTCAAATGTCCTTACATGGTAAAGTGATGTCCCATTGGCCAAGTTCCTTGTTTCCTGGACAGGTCAAAAGGGACAGGGTTTTGCTCATCTGGCTCTTACGCTCACTCACAGATCTTCAGCCAAACACTCAGAAGACAGGCTGGGGGCTAGCCCCAACCTCCCCCGCAATCCCAGCTCAACCGCATCAGAGAAAGATGAGCCAGAAGAAAGAAGACTCATGATCAGACATCTCAAATTGTCCAACTAGTGGACGAAGATGAAGGGGCTATTGGCTTCCAGGATAGAATAGGTGGCATCACCAGAAGAAGACTGACCAGAATGGTATGATGCTCTAAATATGCTCCAAAGAGATAATAGGGAAAGGAACAGGAATAAATCCCAAGAAGAATAATTAGGGAAAAGAGAGTGGTCTTTAGAGCGAATGGACAAGAAACCGAGACAGACCAGCCTGGGATGAGGCTCCAAGATGTTCAGAAGAGGCTATAGAAAGACACCTCATCATAAAGCTGAAAGCTTTAGATCATTTTTAGACTGACCTTACACTTATCGCTGAGAGGAAGGTGCTGCCTCAGGGCTGCTGGTAAGAAACTATTCCTTTTGAAAAAGATCATTTTTACCACAAAACAAAGTTAGAAAGGTTAAGCTTTGCACAAGTTCCAAAAACTGTCCCTAGCAGGATTTCTCTTAGCAAAAAGGAGGTTGATGTCCTGAGGAGTTTATTGTTTAAGGACATAAGCTAACATTGTTCCATTCCTAACATGACAGGCCAGCTGAAACAAAATTAAAAGGGGTTTTGAGATTTGAAAGAAGGATTATGTAGATTTTTCATTTCATATTTTGCTTCTATTATGCTATTTATTTTCCTGCCTGAGGCTTTATAATTAAAGAAAAGTATACTCCAGTATACTCATGGTCAGTGAGTCTCTGAGTCATCTACATCCTGAAGATGAAGACAGTCCCACTAGCTAGTCTGTTTTCACTTTAAGCGCTATGCAGCCCCTTTTTTTTTTTAAACCCCTTAACATTCCCGGGATTTTCAGCTAAAAATGCCTAAATACACCTAGAAAAGGCCTTTCCAAATTCAAACTTTTATAGCTCTTGAGCCATATTGAGTTAAAAATAAAGTTCTGGGCTTCATGTAAAGAATAAACTCGCTAGTTTTTACCTGTACATTCTGATTTACTCCAAGTGATTAACTCCATGTGGTATGCTTTATAAAACAGCTCTGAAAAGTTTTCACCTGGATTTTCTATGTGAAAATAATTAAGAATTGTACTCCAGCAGGCCAGGAAAGAACTATTTGACACAATAGAAACACTTTCTTATATCCTGGCAAGCAGCCTTCCAAATGTAATTGGAATATCTGCAAAACAGTATTTCTAAAAGTGCTCATCTAGGACTAGGCCATGTCACCACTTTTGTATACTTCAACATAGAAACAGACCTCTTTGGAAAGACAACAGAGGAATCAGACTAAACTGTCAAAATCTTTCAAACACATGTTTTTATTGAAAAAAATTAATATAAATGGAAAAAAACCACTTCAGTAAAAAAAAAAAAAAAAAAAACTATACAAAACATGTAGTGAATCATCTTGCAGCAAGTTATCTCTGAAATTTTAGGTTCAACCCATATAGAGCATATATCATCCTAAAAAAGCTATACATTGGCTACACATTGATGTGCTGAGTTTTTTTTAGGTTGGATAGGTCGGACAAGGAAGTCAAAATCTGTAAGCATGATTCGCGCCAATTGGCTTTCTGCTGTCCCAGCCTGCCCCCATCGTCCTGTAACTGGTCAAACAAGGTGTCAATCAAGCCAGAACTTTCTGTTTCAACGGGTGATAGCATCAAATGCGTTGTTTTTAGCACCTTTTGAGTGAAAATAGTCAAATGTGGTGGTGTTTTTTGCTGTAGTTGAGAGTTTTTTTTTTTGCAGTATTCGTGCCTTTGTGGATTTTATAGGACATTTGGAACCCTCATTTTACCGGATTATCTTTTTACTGGCTGGTCCGAGCAGAAAAAGGCCAAACTTGTTGGGAAATATTGGAGTTTTCACAACAACTAAAAGGTAAGAAAATTAACTTTTTGAGTTTTGTGTTGACCTTAATTAAACATCTGTGGTGTTTGCTGAGGTTCATCATGCTTTGTATCAATGGGAAGAGGAGAACGAGAGCTTTCTGTAGATAGGCGGACATGCTATGTTGACATTGAGATACATATGTGTACATTTGCCAACTCAAGGAAGTTTTAAATGGTCACCTGTAGAATCTAAATATCCTGTGTATGTTTTTTTTTTTTTAAGAATATATATTCTGGCAGATATACAACTGAGTCTTTTTAAAGCCCCATATATCGGTATCGGCCATGAAAGGCTCTACTTATCGCCCACTGACAGCTGGAGATAGGCACCAGCACCCCTCTCGACCCCAATTGGGACAAGCGTGTCAGATAATGGATGGATGGATGGATGGATGGAAGGCTCTACTTATGTACTAAACATAAACGTTCAATTGATTGTTTTTTTTTATTCTCTCCGCCCTCTGGCGCCATGTTTAGGCCTTTCCATTTGTAAACATGCACAGAAGCAATCAATGTTTCTGTCTAACATGTCCTTTTTATGTGCAATCTTTTTGTTTGCTTATATTTCACTAAAATACGCCTCTGTCATCCCACAGTTGTGTTCAGAAAATCCTGATTTCCTTTTCTAATATACCTTAAATCATTAGAACCTAGTGAAACATTTGTAGTAAGAGAGCAGCTATCAGTCACTGAGGAAGGGTGGCTCACCTGATGACTGCTGGAACTCTGCTCCTCCGAGCGAGGCCACGTTTTCTGTGATGGGCTTCATCTTCTGGTCGCTGATGTCACTCCCCGAGTCGTACTCCTGTTCGTCGTCGCTCAATGACGACGATGAGTCGCTCATGTCCTGATGAGATTTCCCTTTAGACTTGGTGGCCTCCATGGTCTTCTGCTTTCTGGTTCCCCCCTCCTCTTCTCTCCTCATGAGGTGAGGCTTCCCGATAGTCCTCACCGTGTTCAAGTTATGTATTTCCTTCTGAGAATCTTGGTCGTCGCTCGAGGAATCTGTCCCGCTCTCCTGTCTGGCTTTAACCCCCCTGCTGCCCGACTCGGACTCAGAGGAGCGGTCCATCATCTTACGTTTGCGCCGTAGCTTCTCAGGCGACATGGGGCTGTTCTTGGTCAGCCAGAACAGACACTTCTTGGCCACCTTCTCGGGCGGCGCCTGGCTCGCCTCTTCGTCGCTCTGAGGTTCGTCGGAGCTCTGCGTCATCGCCGCTCTTTCCAGGAGGGCGGCGGGGACTTCATCTGAATCTGAATCGTCTCTCGACCTGCTCAGATTTTGCTCGTCGTTGCTGGCGACAGGTACAGCGTCAGGGGTCTCCTCAGGGTCAGAGTCACTCTCGCTGTCTCCCCCGGAGAGGGACGGTTTGGCTATGATGTCACTCTGTCGCCTCAGAGGAGTGATCTTTAAACGAGGGGATCGTCTGTTGCCTTGCTTCTCCTTCAGGAAGAGAGGTGTGGCGGAGGCATCGAAGCACATCCGTTTCTTGTCTTTTGGACTTGCAACTTGCGCTTCCTGATCCTCTGTGAGTTCCTTCTCAGTTTTGTTTTCCTTCTCTGGGATGTCGTCCCCCAGCTTTAGGACATCCGCGGATTGATTCTGCTCCACAGGTACAGGTGTGAGTTGTACAATGAGTTTTTTAGACATATCCATGTCACTTGAAGACGGCTTAAGGTCGGAGCTCGGAGAACACAACTCTAGTTCCTTTTCAGAGCTGTCGCTGGTGATCGTCAGGTCGATGTAACCTTTGGAATCAGAGTCATTGTCTTCAAATTGCTCCACTGCCAGTTTCTTCAAGTTACTCAAGCGTTTTTCATCAGACACATCAAGCTCCACGTCTGAGTTCATCAGATTACAGTCGTTGCTTAGGATCTTTTCCCAGTTGCTTGCCACGTCCAGGTCTCTGAATTCCTCCTTCAGGTTCTCCTCCAGGGCCGTTAGAGACTTTCTCAGGCCTTTAACCACGGCTAAGAAGGATTTTAGATATACGGAGCGGATGCTGGGCTCTTTCTTGCTTGTCGTTACTGTCTCAATGAAACTGACGAAGGTTTGATTCAAGGCATTTGTGGATTCAACCAGATGTTTGGCCTTCTTGGTGATTTCCTTGGAAACCTGCAGGTTGTTGTAGTTGAAGATCACATTGCCGTCCATGCCGCTATGGTCCCACTTATCCAGAGGAATGTTCTGAGGCGAGTGCGGCAACATCGTATGGTACAGCTCCGACTTCTCCGGCTCTGCTCGGCTCCTTCGCCGCTGCTGAGACCACAGAGGCTCTACGTTCTCCAGGACAGTGTTGCACGCCATCACCAGGTCAAAGAGCGGCTCGGGGCTGCACACGTAGCAGTACCACTTGCTCTCTAAGATGCCGGAGAGCTCCTTCCTTCCCAAGTTTCTGAGGATGCATTTCTTGCAGAAAGCATTGCTGCAGTAGTCACAACAGATTAAGTTGCCACCTTCAGCACACCACCTAACAAAAATAGAAAAAAGAAGATTGGCAACAAGAAAAACAGAAGCTTTATACGCTTTATATTTCGGATGAAATAATTTGATATATCCTAGAAATCTCACCTGCACTGCTCATCCATGCCGTCTCCATCCTTGCTGATATCATCGCTGGAGTAATATTTGTAACACGCCTACCAAAACAAAAAGCATAGTCAGTTTCAGGCGACCAACATTGGTTCTCAAATATAAAACCTGCTTGGATATTTCTGACTCCACATTCAAATATGCAACTATTTCAAAGAGCTGTAACATTTTGTTTTTAAGATTGTACCACAAAAGGGGAAAAAATATTCATCACTCTCCATAGTTTTGATTTAAGGGAAGAACAGAAGTAAAATGCTTTGGTTTCTTGATCTGCAGCTAGATGAAACACACCGTCTGCCAAAGGATAGTCTAGGAGAGTGATGATGAGGTCTTTTACTGATTTCATCAAAATTCTTATATTTTGCAAAACTGCAATTGAATATTTTTTCATATATCACATGTCAGGTGTTCTGCAGCTGGACGTTGGCGCCTTTAAAGAAAAGGAAAACAAGACAACCAGACATAGTTGGAGGATAAAGGCACCAAAAATAGTTGTGGTTGAAATATGGATATAGTTCATGTGTTTACATCCAGTGCTGCCATGTTGTTTTCAGAGTTTATCGCTTGACAAAAAACAAAACAAAACGTATTCTTAATTTAAATGAAACCATGAAATAACCCATCCCCTTGGGTGGCAGTGGGCACCCACTGTATGGCGCCCCGGGAGCAGTGTGGGGTTAAGGGTCTTGCTCAGGACCCCAGAGTGGAGGCTGTGGGGATGTTTATCATTCCGGGTACTTGCAACCTTCTAAGAAAACAAGCGCACTGATCTAAACACCAAGCCTACACACCCCAATAAACAAACACAGCCATTAGGGCAAGGAGCAAGTGTTGCTGGTACAACATTACATTTACATTTTATACCTCTCTATTATTTTTACTTATTTTAATTTTTTAATTTTGTTTATCGTATTTTTCTTTCACTCATTTGTCTTCATTTGCGCATCTTATTAATTTACCAACTATAGCTATGTTTTAGTGTTACTCCTGTTTAGGGTTGTCAAAAGTATCGAGACTCAAAAAAGTATCGATACCAAAATGTTGTATCCGGATACAATACTCATTTTTAAAAGTATCGATACAGTGCTACAGTGCTTTGTTTCTTAACCAGTTTGGCTAGTGTCATTGTTATGTGTGCAAAGCATAGCCAAGGAAGGAACACTTCATTCTAATTTTATAAGTTTTTTATCAAGCTTGCTTAATATTGTGCACAGCAAACAACCTCAAAATATTGTTCTTGTTGTTTATTGTATTTATTTATTGTATTTTATTTATTAATGAAAATATTTCTGTAGAATTTTGGAGTCTTTGTTTTTATCCTTGTGGTATCGAAAATGGTATTGAGTATCGAGTATTTTCCTTAGTATCGGTATCGAGTTGAAAAGTTTAGTATCGTGACAACCCTACTCCTGTTTAATCATGTAAACTACTTTACTTGTAAGTTCAACCCAATGCTAATACCTTTAAAGTTGCTTTAAGTATATTGTAAGTGAAAAGCAGCAGACTAAATGTGGGATTGTATGTATATTTCTACGCAAGTTAAAAATTAAGTAAAATAAATAAAAGTTTTTTGTTTTTTTTTTAAATCCTGTTTGTTTCTGTTTACAGGTTTCTGGATTCTGACCTACCTTGCAGATGAGTACTTTCAGAACCGGATGCTGATAAAGGGAATCTCTCCGGAAGTGGTTAACTTGTCGGCCACACGCAGTGCAACAAACAATTCCCACATTTTGCTCTCCTGGGAAAAATACAATAAACATCATTATTAAACGTGCTGTTATATAAACTATCTGTTGGACGATCAGTAGCAACACAATGGTCATAAAAAACAAAAAAAAAACAACCACAAAACATTGTTCTTTTAATTCATCAATTGAGTAAAGTGATCTGTTTCGTCGACTGCTGCTGCTAATGAGAAGAAAGGATTTAAGCTGTGAAGCTGCTGACCTGAACGTTTCTTTGTAAACTCTTTCCGAAGAACTCCTGGCTTGCGACTGCGAAATTCTGGCCCTCTGAATTCATCTCTTCCGTTGTCCACTGGTTCTGGTCTGACCAGCACCGTACCTGTTCAATCAAACACGTGTTTTCTCAAACTTCTATCCAAACTTCCAATCATAATTCTATATGTATACATATCTGTTCATTTTTTTGCATCGTTAAAAGTCTCTTCAAACAAAGCAGAGGAGGCTCAGCAGTACAGAGCTGTATCAGCGACCTTTAGGCAACCTGGTGACATCCAGGTGTCCGTTAGAGCTGACAGGTCGCCCAAAGTCTTCACTCGTATTCGAGTCTCCAGATTCATCCAGTCCTGAGTGCTTCACAACGACAGAAGGTTTCCTAAAACAAATATAAATTACAGAAGAAACTATAAATAGAACCAGGGATGTTTAAATGAAACTATCTTTCTATAAAAGCAGTTCTGAGTCCTGGGGGTAAATGTCAACCTTACAGTGTTAACTTCACTGAAATAACTAAACAATAAACTCACCTCCTTGAGTATCTGCTGTCCATGTCAGCCTGCAAAACAAGGCAGATTGTCGGTTTTATTTTAGAGTTTTTTTTGTTTTTTTTTGCTCCAAGCTTAGAAGTAGAGCTGCATGTTTCTTAAAGGACCAAAAGCAGACTTTGTAACCTAGAGAGTTAACGCATACGATTTATTTTAAAAGATTCCTTAGGCTTATATACAGCACTTGACACCATCAATGCTACCAGCGGGGCTCCCCTCTTGAAATATGAACTATGTAAATTGGGATCAGACGCACTGTCGTTAGCCAGGTCCTGTATATACACTATATTGCCAAAAGTATTTGCTCACCTGCCTTGACTCACATATGAGCTTAAGTGACATCCCGTTCCTAATCCATAGGGTTCAATATGACGTCGGTCCACCCTTTGCAGCTAGAACAGCTTCAACTCTTCTGGGAAGGCTGTCCACAAGGTTTAGGAGTGTGTTTATGGGAATTTTTGACCATTCTTCCAGAAGCGCATTTGTGAGGTTGCACACTGATGTTGGACGAGAAGGCCTGGCTCTCAGTCTCCGCTCTAATTCATCCCAAAGGTGTTCTATCGGGTTGAGGTCAGGACTCTGTGCAGGCCAGTCAAGTTCATCCACACCAGACTCTGTCATCCATGTCTTTATGGACCTTGCTTTGTGCACTGGTGCACAGTCATGTTGGAAGAGGAAGGGGCCAGCTCCAAACTGTTCCCACAAAGTTGGGAGCATGGAATTGTCCAAAATGTCTTGGGATGCTGAAGCATTCAGAGTTCCTTTCACTGGAACTAAGGGGCCAAGCCCAGCTCCTGAAAAACAACCCCACACCATAATCCCCCCTCCAACAAACTTTACACTTGGCACAATGCAGTCAGACAAGTACCGTTCTCCTGGCAACCGCCAAACCCAGACCCGTCCATCAGATTGCCAGATGGAGAAGCGCGATTCGTCACTCCAGAGAACGCGTCTCCACTGCTCTAGAGTCCAGTGGCGGCGTGCTTTACACCACCGCATCCGACGCTTTGCATTGCACTTGGTGATGTATGGCTTGGATGCAGCTGCTCGACCATGGAAACCCATTCCATGAAGCTCTCTGCGCACTGTTCTTGAGCTAATCTGAAGGCCACATGAAGTTTGGAGGTCTGTAGTGATTGACTCTGCAGAAAGTTGGCGACCTCTTCGCACTATGCGCGTCAGCATCCGCTGACCCCGCTCCGATCCAACAGCTGACCATCCGATGCATCGACACCAATGTCGTAAATATCGGCAAGCCTCGTCACTGACACTTGGTAGGCCCCCTTAACAATTGTGGACTAGGACGTCTCTTTGCAGATGTAATGATGTGAAAACTTCCTTTTGAACCCACCTGACATTAAGATGACTGACCGGACCGTATTTATACCCCAACACGTGCCAGATTTCAACATGATGGTGAGCCATTTAAACGCAACACCAATAACAAAACAGACAGTGGTACTTTTATTTACTATGTTAATAACTGTGAATAGTTCATTAGATGGTTGGTAAAAAATACACTCATATGTTTCAAACTGCAATAAAGATCTTAAAAGAACGATGTATTTGAGTATTTTATTTTTTACAATACAACTTGGAATTATGGGTAATCAAGAACCATAACCGTTACGTAAAATGTGTTAGCGACGATGGATACCAAAACGAGGTACTTAAGCGGATTCCAGAAAAGAAAAAGGAAAGAAGAGCTGCTGGAAGAACAGAAAAAACATTCCACAATAAACACGTTCTGAGAAGAACCGAAGAGCAATGGTGGAAGTTGCTGCTACAGTGAGTAAAGACTGCGACCAGGAGATGAATGGAGAGCGTGGGTGAGGAGGGGAACAGTGAAGCTCAAGGTATAATGCTACGTTCACACCGCAAGAGCAGCAAAATCGCGTCTGCTGCTTCATTTTTGCTGCTTGTACCAGTTAGTTCTGACGCGCGGCTAAAGCAGCTTTGCTGCTCTGGCTGCGCGGTGCAAAAGTGTGTCTGACGCGCGTTTGGCGGAGCTTCACTATCCTTTCTCTGCCTTGCAGCTATATTTGCTGTGATCAGTGGGTATAAAGTAGTTTTAATATGTTTTAAAGTGAGAAAATCCACCTGAAAACTTCATCAGTGCAGTCAGTTCATCCAGATTACAATCCTGCCTACCAATGCTATTTCTGTCGGAGCCACTTAGACCCCCACATACCAGCGGTGCGCTGTCAGTAGGATCCCATTCAACAGCAGCCTCTGGCCGGGTCGCTGCTTCCGCCGCGCCTGATGCATCCGGTGTGAACGTAGCATAAGACTCATTTTACAGCAGAATATACTAAAAATATATACTATACTTTGTATGGGGCTCACCCAGATAATGTTGCTTACGGGCCTATTGTTGTGTCGTTACACCACTGATCGACACATCCGCAAGAGTATCAATTCATGTTTTTTTTTTCTTCTCCAGTCTCTTTTCATCCATTTGCTCCTGGAACTTTTTTATTAATATGCATAACAATATTAGAGCTTTCACTGATCTATTTGAAATTTGAAACATTGTCTAGTCTGTAATATAAAAAAAAATAAAAAATTAATCGAATCGAATCATTGGGTCAGGAAATTGATACTGAATCGAATCGCCATGATGGATGTCATTTACACCCCTTTATCTATATATATCTCTATCTATCGATCGATAGATACACTATATTGCCAAAAGTATTTGCTCACCTGCCTTGACTCACATATGAGCTTAAGTGACATCCCGTTCCTAATCCATAGGGTTCAATATGACGTCGGTCCACCCTTTGCAGCTAGAACAGCTTCAACTCTTCTGGGAAGGCTGTCCACAAGGTTTAGGAGTGTGTTTATGGGAATTTTTGACCATTCTTCCAGAAGCGCATTTGTGAGGTTGCACACTGATGTTGGACGAGAAGGCCTGGCTCTCAGTCTCCGCTCTAATTCATCCCAAAGGTGTTCTATCGGGTTGAGGTCAGGACTCTGTGCAGGCCAGTCAAGTTCATCCACACCAGACTCTGTCATCCATGTCTTTATGGACCTTGCTTTGTGCACTGGTGCACAGTCATGTTGGAAGAGGAAGGGGCCAGCTCCAAACTGTTCCCACAAAGTTGGGAGCATGGAATTGTCCAAAATGTCTTGGTATGCTGAAGCATTCAGAGTTCCTTTCACTGGAACTAAGGGGCCAAGCCCAGCTCCTGAAAAACAACCCCACACCATAATCCCCCCTCCACCAAACTTTACACTTGGCACAATGCAGTCAGACAAGTACCGTTCTCCTGGCAACCGCCAAACCCAGCCCCGTCCATCAGATTGCCAGATGGAGAAGCGCGATTCGTCACTCCAGAGAACGCGTCTCCACTGCTCTAGAGTCCAGTGGCGGCGTGCTTTACACCACCGCATCCGACGCTTTGCATTGCACTTGGTGATGTATGGCTTGGATGCAGCTGCTCGACCATGGAAACCCATTCCATGAAGCTCTCTGCGCACTGTTCTTGAGCTAATCTGAAGGCCACATGAAGTTTGGAGGTCTGTAGTGATTGACTCTGCAGAAAGTTGGCGACCTCTTCGCACTATGCGCGTCAGCATCCGCTGACCCCGCTCCGTCAGTTTACGTGGCCTACCACTTCGTGGCTGAGTTGCTGTCGTTCCCAAACACTTCCATTTTCTTATAATACAGCTGACAGTTGACTGTGGAATATTTAGGAGCGAGGAAATTTCACGACTGGATTTGTTGCACAGGTGGCATCCTATCACAGTTCCACGCTGGAATTCACTGAGCTCCTGAGAGCGACCCATTCTTTCACAAATGTTTGTAAAAACAGTCTGCATGCCTAGGTGCTTGAATTTATACACCTGTGGCCATGGAAGTGATTGGAACACCTGATTCCAATAATTTGGATGGGTGAGCAAATACTTTTGGCAATATAGTGTATATACATAGCGATACAGCTCACACTGTATGACAGCTTGCAATGTTTGTTCTCAGACTGTGCGGCCAGACGCTATAATGAAATCTACCTACTCATACTGTACATTCAAAAACTACAGGTTGGACTGAGCACCGAGAGATCGAGTTGGTCAGACTCGTCAATCTGGAAAAAGAAGAACTCCCTTGTTTGCACCTACGCATGGCATTAGGGTTCTTGTAAATCAGCTTGTAGCTCTGTCTCAACAGCAGGATTTGTCCACTGCGCCTTACGATGGCCCACTGAATTTCAAACATGTTTGATTTTCTCCTAACCTTACGATTCCTGATCGGGAGGTGGTCGTGAGAGGCTGATCACCCCTCACTACCCCTTGTATACTACACGACGCGTCATGAGGAGGAAACTCGGCCTGATTGAGAAATTCTGGCACGACTGGAGAATCAGCCCAAAGACGGGAAGAAAAGAAATAATCGTACAGTATGTGTCTAGCTTTATTTGCAGTTAAATATTTGTAACAAGTGGATATAGGCAAATTAGATGTAGGCACAGAGAAAACTGAGATTGATCGATGCATAAAATACATTACAAAGAAGATGAATAACAAAAAAAATTTTTAAACCCTTCTTATCACCATCCCCCACACCAAACCAGTACCTCTGAAGCATTATCCTGTGGTGAGTTCCCCACAGTGAACCGTTTGTTTCTCTGACCTGTGAACAGAAGATTCGTCATTTTATCAATGAACAATGAGTTTCTGTTGCTTTTGACTGAGTTTGTAAAAACAGAAATACCATAAGACGCCTCTGATGCTGGGGTGCCATTGCTGTCCTCGATGCAGGAATGAGCCAAATATTCATGAAGCTTGTTGACCAATAAATTCAGCTTGTTGCCGGAGGTACCTCTGTGAATAAAAAAAATAAAAAATAAAAAATCATATCATCTGGTTTAAAGTTCTTTTTTGCTATGTTAGAAATATAGCTGTTTGCTTTATTGGGAGATAATAAACTGGTGAATAAACCCTCATAACAGATAATCAAAAATGGCGGACATATTTCATATGACACTTGGAAAAAAATGTTGTTTTTTTTCCTGAAATTGTTTATTTTCCATGGAAAATATATGAGCTTCAGTGGATTATTAAGATGTGTTATTTTAAGTGTTATGGACAAAATCAGCCCATATATGCCAGAATAGAACGATGACAGAAGACAAAAAAAAAGTACAGAAATGAAAATAATGAGTTGTAATGTGATGACAGATTATTAATTATTGATGTTTGTGAGTATTGTTGGCTCTAGGGTTGTCAAAAGTATCGATACTCAAAAAAGTATCGATACTGAAACATTGTATCCGGATACAATACTCATTTTCAAAAGTATCGATACAATGCTACCACCAGTGGCACCTAAACAGTCATTAATCTAAAGCGCAGAATAGAGGAAAATGCACTTTCTGAACATGGTGTGATTGAATAATTCAGTGCACTTTTTAGTTTCAGACTTTTTTTGTAACAGGTGCAGCTGCTGAGAATGATTTTTGTTTCTTAACCTGTTTGGCTAGTGTCATTGTTATGTGTGCAAAGCATAGCCAAGTAAGGAAAACTTTTTAAGTTTTTTATCAAGCTTGCTTAATACTGTGCACAGCAAACAACCTCAAAATATTGTTCTTATTGTTTATTGTATTTATTTATTGTAATTTAATTATTAATCAAAATATTTCTGTTGAAATTTGGAGTTTTTATCCTTGTGGCGTCGAAAATTAGCCTGGGTGCCAGTCCGAACTTAGTCCCACCCACAAGGTTTGAGTTCGGGGAAGTTTGGTCTGGCTCTGCTCCATAGTAGCGCGAGTATTATCGCCCACTGTCAGGCGATCCAATCAAATTGTCAGGGCGGGCTTTATACGATGATGGACAGATGATCAAGAGCAACATAATCAACCACGTGACCAAAGCCGATTGGGTGACAACAATAATGGCTGCCGCTGGAGAGTTTGGGTGAGTAGATTCTGCTATTAGGTCTGTTCTAGAAGATATCGACAGCAAATTAATTTTAAAAGAGGAACAGAGAAACGCGATCAAGTCTCATCTTCTTATTCTAGGCGTGAAACTGCACGCTTTGATTTTTGTGGACAACAACTATGCCTCGCTTAACATACGTCACGCACTCCGTTGCTCTTATTGGTTGTAGATCTATCCAATTGAGTGCAGAGGCATTTTTTTCCCTGGTTCGTTCGAAACACGCCCCATAATCACAGCTCTATGGAGCAGTATCAGACTCATATTCTGACTAGAATTGAGTAGGACTACGTCAGGCTAGTCGAAAATGGTATCGAGTATCGAATATTTTCCTTAATATTGGTATCGAGTTGAAAAGTTTAGTATCGTGACAACCCCAGTTGGCTCTGAATTGAGGTGATAGTGGTTTTCTTTTGGATCGCTGGATTCTTAAGGGATACATGTTGGGTTTTGTTTACAGCTAAGTTTGCTACTCAATACAGAACAAAATGTGATAGCAACACGCCCCCAGTCCAGGTGGTGGAATATAACGCTGAGTTCAGACCGAACGCGGCGGGTATTTCACCGCTTATAACTAATGTTGCGCCGATGCCATTTTTTGGCCCCGATACCGATACCCGATACCTGGCTGTGCAGTATCGGCCGATACCGATACCATAATAATGTAATAATTGCCATCATGGCTTTGTCAAGCTGCTGCCTACCTTTGTGAAGCAGGAAAAAGACTAAAACAAAGTGAATCCAGTAGAACTTTTTATTGCCTACCTGGAATGGGTGACAATAGTTGAATAAACTTTTGGCTCTAAAATGGTATCGGTGCCCTATTGGTTGGTACTCGCCGATACCGACACCACCATTTTAGTGCTGGATCGGGGCCCCATCCGATACTGGTATCGGTGCAACACTACTCATAACTCGGATGCAGTGTTTGCACACTGGTCCGCATCATCATGTAGGAGGAGCTTTAGCAGCGTGAAAAACATGTTAGTCTGTCAATATGCTAATTTCAAAAAATCTTCAAGTGGAAAAGTTTTAACTTCTTCTGGTTTGATTCTGTGAAATGTTTTTCTTCAAGGGACTATTTTTTTATTGATTAATCGATAATAATCAGCAGATTAATCGATTAGCAAAGTAATAATTTGCTGCAGCCCTAATATCAATATCTAAGGCAAAACAGAGTTTCAGTTTGTAGACGATAAATAACATAAGTATTCATAATATATTACATCTCTCTCAGCACATAACAGTAATTATTACACAATGAAGCTTTGAGTCACATCACCCAGCCCTAGCTAAAAGGATGCTTTTTGATTATTTGCCTCATCCATAATCAATCAAAAAAAAATTGTTAGATGCCAGACAATTTATTGTGCCAAAATAAGATGCTATGAAACAGGAAGACAGATTGTTTGATTAGGTCATAAAACATATCTAGGTTAGTAGGCCTATAAAACACCATTAGCGACCTGTAATCCTTTTATCTCCCTTCACATCCTTGAACTCCTGGAAGAGGCCTGGACACGTGTATCAGCTCTGCTCGGCCAATAAGCTTCATATGCAACTGTAATACTAAACTAAGACAAGAATACTACCCTCATTTATAGAGCAATAGCAATAGATGCAGCCTGTGGGATAAACAATAAATTATCCCCATCAGTGCATTCCTTCACAACTCAACTTCTGATCACTTCAGTTTCCTTCCAGTTAGACAACATCTGTAATAAGCAACAATAATAGCTATCGGCGTTTCTGAAGAGGGTTATTAAATGTTTAATTTTATCTAGAACGAAATAATGAATATGAACGGGTTAACAACATGAGAGGGTCCAACATCCGGGTGAGAGACCTGTATTCATCAAGCAATGCTTTGAAAAAAAAAATAATATATACATTTCCATCTCCTTTTCTACCAGAATGATCTTTTAATTTCAAAGGGGAACTAGTTATCAGTATTTTATCAGCCGTTAGAAGAAACTATCCTACAGTACCGCTTTTTGCAATTAGCATGAACTGAACATTAGTGAAATATAAAGTATGTGGCACTAACAGTCTTTAAAACATTGTTTCGGCTACGTGTGTTCTTACTAAATGCTATACAACAGTTTAACTACGTTAAAATATCTTATTTGACCTATTTCTGGCTCTTCGTTAGCTTAGCTGTTAGCTTATTCAGCTAGCAGTGAGCTAAGCTACTTTACCGGTAGATTTTGCTGGAACCATGAGGCGCCCCTAATTTCAAAGCTTATTTTCTTTTACCTGAGAGCAGACATGATCCAAAGCAGCAAAACAACAGAAGTTGTTCGAAAGGTTCACATTTTTTTTTTCTTTCACTTAATCGCTCTGTCCAAAATGTGGCGCTAATTAGCGCTCAAAGGTGAGGCAGCAGGGGGAAGGAGAGAAAAAAAACACTTCTTGTTCTAACATTTTTACAAAGTTGAAATGTCGCCACCTTCCGTCGGGAGTGAGCATTACCTGATGTAGGAGCTTCAGCTCTTTAAATTTAGCAGAGGTAAGTAGAGTACCAGGAAATTGTTAACAAATAACAGTAGCGCGACTATAATTATTACTCAAGTAAACATAAAATACAATCATGCAAATAATTATTTAAGTAAGACTAAACTAATTATTATGCAAAAAAGTCTACTCAAGTTGTGAGTAATTGTTGGACCATTAGATATCCTTTAATGTTTCGAAAGAGAATAGAATTTAGAATAGAAAAGAATTCAACTTTATTGTCATTGCATTTTTGCACAAGTGCAAAGCAACAAAATGTAGTTTGCATGTATCCAGAAGTGCTATACAAGATATAAATATTTATTTACATGTGCACAGAGACTATGTCTGTGTCTACTATCAAAGGTAAATATAAACAGAGAGTAATTGTAAAAGGCTATAAGATAAATTAATATGAAAAACTATATAATATAGAGATATAGATTATACAGCAAAGTCAGGATATGGATTATATATATATGTGTGTGTGTGTGTGTGTGTGTGTGTGTGTGTGTGTGTGTGTGTGTGTGTGTGTGTGTGTGTGTGTGTGTGTGTGTGTGTGTGTGTGTGTGTGTGTGTGTGTGTGTGTGTGAGTATATACAGTGGGGTTATAATTGAGGATAAATAATGACAGATAAAGCAGAAAAGAGATTTACCAATTATATACAGCTATAGTGACGGTTAACTGTCTCTGTGCCCACCACCACAGTGTTGTCTGCAAACTTCACGATCTGATTGGTGGTGAACCTGGGGACGCAGTCATGTGTCATCAGAGTGAACAGCGGGGGGCTCAGGACACAGCCCTGAGGGGAGCCTGTGCTTAGGGTGTTGACATCAGAGGTGTTCGGTCCAACCCGCACTGACTGAATGAATGTAAAATGAACTCTTTTATTGTCTTTTATTAATTTTGGTTCTCTTTAGCTGGTTGTGTTGCCTTTATGCCACTGCAATGTTCTTTTCTTTTTTCTCTCATGTACAGCACTTTAAATTGTCTTATTACTGAAATGTGTTATGTAATTAGACTTGCCTAACCATTTAAAATCCATTTTTGTTAGCAAAAAACTTCTGAAATCAATCTTTACAGGAGAATGGTACAAATGTTAGAACCAGATAAATAACTTCCACTGAAATATCTACTGTTTACTGTATTTTCACCTAATCTCCAAATAATTCAAATAACTCACAGCCATAAGTTTAACACAAGTAGGAATACTTAAGAAGAATATTACTCAAGTAAAAGTAAGCAGTACGGTACAGTAAAACTACTACTAAAGGTACCGGTGTATGTCTTTCAAAATTTTACTCAAGTAAATGTAAATGAGTGAATATAATTAGTTACTACCCACTTCTAATTTTTGCTTAGTTTTGTTAAGAGCTGCAACTAACAACTATTTTGCAAATGTTTAATCTGTCGATTATTATTTTTGGATTAATCGATTAATAATCTGACTTCATCCCACATTCCAAAAACATGACTGTTTCTACCGAATGGTTTTTTATTTTTCTGGACAGAAGAATAAGTCAAATTTACTGGAAAGTTCCTTTTGGTGATTGTTTTGCCTTTTGCCGGCCCAGATCCAGTAATGACCTTAAGGTTGGGTTCAATACCTATAAACCAGAGGGGGTTTGGACATGGGGCTGCTCAGTGGGCCGTGGGTACCACTGCTGCCTTGCAGAAAGAAAGTTCAGGGTTCCATTCCCAGCCTGGGATATTTCTGGACCCCGCCTCTCTCCCCTAGACAGCTGGAGATAGGCACCAGCACTGTATACCAGCAGATATACAGATGGAAAGTTTTTTTTATTTTTTATCTTAAATGCAAAATGTTTATATATTTTTTTACAATCGTGGTATAATTCCTGCTCTTAGTGTGCAGCTCTGTCAGCTAAAGGGATGTTTTACAGTCTGTATACTCCAGGTAATAATTAATTGATTACTGACTTAGTTGATGATTATATCAATAATCGATTAATTCGAATGTGTTTCAGCCCTAGTTTTTTTTAAGTCAAATTTGTTTAAAATATATTCAATTTAATAAAAAGAAAACATGAAATTTGATTTTCGCACCTCATAATTATTTGGGATAATTCTGAATTGTCCAGAAGTCGCTAGTCGAGTTCATGTTCCAGGGCCGCTAGTCGAGTTCATGTTTCAGTACTTGTTAGAACAAGATGCGTGGATGTATGTTTGGGGTGTTTTCATTTGTAAAGAAAAAAGGGAAGTTTTCTGTTTAGGCCTGCTAGTCGAGTTCATGTTCCAGAGCTGCTAGTCGAGTTCATGTTCCAGGGCCAAAAGTCGAGTTCATGTTTCAGGGCCAAAAGTCGAGTTTATGTTCCAAAGCTGCTAGTCAAGTTCATATTCCAGGGCCGCTAGTCAAGTTCATGTTCCAGTTCATGTTCCAGGGCCGCTAGTCGAGTTCATGTTCCAGGCCTGCTAGTCGAGTTCATGTTCCAGAGCTGCTAGTCGAGTTCATGTTCCAGAGCTGTTAGTCGTGTTCATGTTCCAGGGCCAAAAGTCGAGTTTATGTTCCAGAGCTGCTAGTCGAGTTCATGTTCCAGAGCTGTTAGTCGTGTTCATGTTCCAGGGCCAAAAGTCGAGTTTATGTTCCAGAGCTGCTAGTCAAGTTCATGTTCCAGGGCCGCTAGTCGAGTTCATGTTCCAGTTCATGTTCCAGGGCCAAAAGTCGAGTTCATGTTCCAGGCCTGCTAGTCGAGTTCATGTTCCAGAGCTGTTAGTCGTGTTCATGTTCCAGGGCCAAAAGTCGAGTTTATGTTCCAGAGCTACTAGTCAAGTTCATGTTCCAGGGCCGCTAGTCGAGTTCATGTTCCAGTTCATGTTCCAGGGCTGCTAGTCGAGTTCATGTTCCAGGCCTGCTAGTCGAGTTCATGTTTCTTGACTTAAACCAGGGTTCTTCAACGTTTTCCAGGCCAAGGACCCCCAAACTCATGGCAAGATGGAGCAGGGACTCCCGAATATTGTATCAAACTGGTCCTATAGTCACTCAACTACAGACGGAGTAATGTAATTAAAGTAATTTCTCCCTGGGATTATTGAAGTATTTCTGATTCCTGGTTGATGGGACAGGTGTTGTGAATGAAACGGTGCCCACCTTGAAAGAGCTCCTGTGTGTCGCTGAATGTGTGCATTGATGACTGAAAGACATCTTCTGCCTCCATTTATCTTTTTACTACAGTGTGTTGAATTCATGTTAATGTATTTTTAAAGGCATTTCAATTAGTGGAAAAAATTACAGGGGAGAATATAAACAAAAATTTTGAATCAACCAAAACTTTCACGACCCCCATGCAGTACCTCCGGGGCCACCCTAGGGGTCACGGACCCCCTGTTGAAGACCTCTGACTTAAGCCATCTTAGTTTGAGACAAAGACACGGGTCAAATGAGACTGAATCCTTTTATTTTCAAATGTGACTAAGAGTCAGAATCAATCATGAAATGTGGTTTTAGTTTCCAAAAAAATTAGGTATACTTGTTAGAACAAGATGCGTGAACAAGATGCGTGGATGTATGTATTTTCATTTGTAAAGAAAAAAGGGAAGTTTTCGGTTTAGGCCTGCTAGTTGAGTTTATGTTCCAGGCCTCCTAGTCGAGTTCATGTTCCAGGGCTGCTAGTTGAGTTTATGTTCCAGGCCTCCTAGTCGAGTTCATGTTCCAGGGCTGCTAGTTGAGTTCATGTTCCCGGGCTGCAAGTCTAGTTCATGTTCCAGGGCTGCTAGTCGAGTTCATGTTCCAGGTCCACATTTGTGTGAAATTTCTATTCTATTCTATTCTATTCTATTCTATTCTATTCTATTCTATTCTATTCTATTCTATTCTATTCTATTCTATTCTATTCTATGAAACTGCCTGTGGGGCAGCTGCTCTTTGCAAATATAGCTCGGCTGCTTCAGTGTAAAGGTAAAAGTCCAAACAGCTTGTTTGCAGGCAGTGTGGGAACCCTGGACCTCAACAAGTCCCAGATGGTAGGAAGGTAAGCCTCAGCATCTTCTCCCAGGACCCATTTGCTTATTCCTGTTAGGTGGATGATCCAAACTACGAATCACACATGGACTGAATGGTGTAGAATGGCCACCTTTTACCACCATCATCCAGAATCCTGAACAGGTTAAGCTCCAGGTTAATCTCAGCGCATGTTTTCGGATCAGTCCTAGGTCGGGCTGATGACACAAGCTTAATGAAAGGATCTTTTGAAATAATTTTTCTGATTTGTAAAGCCCTTTCTTTCTGTTTTTTAATAACTATCTCAAGGCTGTCAGAATAACATTTTTCTGGTTCCTGATGTTGCTTATAAGTTACGTATTGAATTGCATTCTTTTGTTTGCTTTTTTTTTGGTTAATAAAGTGAAAGGTGTGGAAATGTTGACTTTTGTGTGGGCGGACGGACAGAGGGAATAACTCATTTATACAACAACCACCTCTGATTATCCCTTTAACACTTTGAGCAAATAAAAATCTGAAAGGACACTCAAGCATTTGTATTAGGTCTCTTTCTCTACGGCAAACCCAAATAACATCCAACGCCTTTAGAAGGTGTCTAATTGGCAAATGCCCTGTGTGTCATATATATTCATATACTGCTGATGATTAAAATGAATAACGACATGATAAAAAGGGAATTAATCTGGCTTAATGGCTTAATTACAAAAGTTGGATTCATATGAACAGTATCAGGAAGTGGGAAACAAAATCAAAGCAGAGGGAATTTTAAAATGTGTAAACTCTTCTTGACTCAGTTAATTTAGTTTATTTTTATCCCACTATTTCACAATAAAAGCTCCCTCAAACATGTCTTAAATTTCCTAACGATATACAACGGATTAAATCCATATCAAGCAGATAAAAATACACTGTAGACTCTGAAACTAAAAACATCTAATGTTCAAACTGAAGTTTCATTTAGCTTAAAGTTA